ACTCTTGACTCAGCGCAACAAAGCGAAGGAATTCCCCACCACTTTGAAATGCCACTCATGAAAAGGAAACGGTAACAGAAACGCCCCCCACAGAAACCTCTTTCTCTGCAGACCCAATTTTTATGAGTTTTGGTTCAACGTGCCCAAATCACCCACGATAGGCGGGATAAATACTTTGGCAGAATTTGGATTAGGCGCAGCATTAATTTTGCACAAGTTTTATTTAATTTAGTTTACGTTAACCTTTGCAAGAGTTGAAATCAAATGAAATGCGAAGGGTTCTCAATACTTTCGACCAGTTAATCCACATTTTTTCTATCGGGGTTTTTAGGATTTTCCGGTGAAATTTCCAAGTTTTGAGCCACTGCTGATGATGTGATTTGTGTGCGGGTTTATCTTTCGAAAGTAATCGGAGAGTTGTTCTAGTACCAAAGTGATCACGACTCGGACAGGTTGGAGAAACAAGAGCAAGATGGGGAGGGGAAGGGGAAGGGGAAGGGGAGCGGGCCAGAAAGATATGCTCATTGTCACAGGTGTTGTCATGGTGGTAGTGGCATGTTGGCGGCTAAATCGATACATAGGGCTGCATAGATAAGGATGGGTATCAACTCTTGCATGTGTCGTCGCTAGGGGGAAAAAGAAGCAAGGAGCGGAGTTTCAAGCGAAACAGGAGCGGACATACCGGAACATCATTTACGCATGTGTCTGTGGTAAGGAGGGGCTGGTGCGCATGGATGATATACATGTGCTTCTGTGGTGTAGAGGTGTGTCTGTGTGTCTGTGTCTGTGCCTGGTTGTTGTAGCCAGCTATGTCTGTGATTGACAGAAACTGTGATAAGGAATGGCACACATTGCTAGGCTTATCACAAACATCCACCATTGTTCCCACTTGCCATTGTTTGTTCTGGAAAGAAAGGAAAAGCAAAGCAAAGCAATCATACGAGGGGGGTCATTCCGTGAAAGAATCGCAGTTGGAGATTGGCGGCATGGAAGCAAATGACAGAAACTAGTGACATAATCACACGCAACACTGAAATGACTTTTTGGTGAAACTAAAACTAAAACTAAAACTAAGATTAGAATCAATTCAAATTCGGTGTCGTAGTTCTGCCTTAGTGTGTTGCTTCTTTTTGTGGCTGTTTAGAAATTGACACAATACCAACCATCTCAACCGCTTGAAATACATTCGCTGGTCATCTATTCTATTCACTACTCCTCGTCCTCCCTCCCCCTCCCCCTCCCCTATTTTTATAATATATCCCCATTGTCTTGAACTCATATTCTCGTCCACTCTGTTTTGATACATATTTAAACGGGAAACTGCACATACTCTTCCATCTTGTATTCTTCTTTCTCTTCTCTTCTCTTCTCCTTTGCTGCTCTTCGTTGGTACATCGTCACCGATATTCCTGATCCGTTTCCAGTAAATCAATAAGCAAAGCAAAACAAAAAAAGGGGAGCAGGGGAAAGGAACAAAAATGAACGAAACGACATGATTCCAAATAGATCTATCTATTTTTCTACCAGTACTTGTGCCTATTCCTCCACATACAGTTATGTATTTTTTTTTCTGACGATGACGTACAGCCAAGTTTTGCGGTTCATTTGTCGCAGTGTCACGTGTGTGTCGTTATATACGGACTAATATTATCCCAATCTGTACTCTTTTCCTCTTTTCATTTCTTTTTTTCTTTTTTTTTCTTTTTTTCCTTTTTGGTTCGATCAACTGGGTCTGTGCATCCGCTTCTCTCCGTCACCTGTCGTCAAACAGAATCCTGGCAGCTTTCGTATCAACTAGGTTTTGGGTTCTCAAAAATGAAAAATTTATTATGTTTTTTTTTAATCTGAAAATTTATTTATGCGATGAGATGAGCTTCATATATACTATTATCTGATAGATATATCAATTTAACTACTCTACTGCTTTTGACCACTCATCTATTCTTTATATATATATATATATTCATATTCATATTCATATTCATATTCATATTTATTACACACTCTATAAATTATATACCCAGTTTCAGCCCAGCAAAGGAGTGCAAAGCTACAACAACCATGTCATCGTTGAAAGATCAATTGGCTCAAGTGGCCCAGTCAAACTCTACTGTAGCTTTGGATAGAAAAAGAAGACAAAAGTTACATTCGGCTTCTCTGATCTATAATACAAAAACTGCTGCCACTCAAGACTACGATTTCATTTATGAATCTGCTCTAAAGGCCCTCGATGAATTGATAGAAATAGAACCAAAATTTAAAGTATTTCAAAAAACTCTGTTTTCTGAAACTTCAATGGCAATTGATAGAAATGTTCAAACAAAAGATGAAATTAAAGATTTAGATAACGCCATCTTTGGTTTCTTGATGTTAGCCTCTTCAAAATGGCAGTTGACCCCAACTTTGTACGCTACAGAATGGTTGGTTCGTCGTTTCCAAATTCACATCTTGAATTCAGAAATTTTGTTATTATCAACTTTAAATTTTTACCAATCACCAATATTCAAAAGAATTCTAGATATCGTCAAGTTGCCTCCTCTTTTCAACCCTTTGTCGACTTTTGTAAGATCAGATAAAAACCCTTCTAACATGACAATTGTCAAATTGTTCAACGACAATGATTTCATCAAGTTATACACAAATTATTTAAGTAAATGTATTAAACATCATATGACTTACACAAATCAATTATTGTTTACTACTTGTTGTTTCATCAACTTGATTGCATTCAATTCAAACAATGAAGAAAAGTTAAACCAATTGATTCCTATCTTATTAGAAGTATCCGCAAAATTATTGGCTTCAAACTCAACCGATTGTCAAATTGCGGCACATACCACATTAGTCGTGTTGGCTACTTCTATCCAATTGAATAAAAATATTATTTTAGCTGCCGTTGAAACTATTTTATCAGGTTTGGAAAATGCTGACGCTACAAAGTCTGCCTTAGTTGCAATTTGTAAATTATTCCAAACTATGAAGGGTACTGGCAACGTCGATCATTTACCAATGAAATTATACAAGCTATTTAACAACAAATATTCCTTGGATAATTTGATCGAATTATTGTCAACTTCAGATTCTCCAAAAGCTGATAAATTTATCACTTGTTATCTAAGGGCTATTACAAGATTCGACCATCCAAAATTGACATCTGTTGTGAAATTGTTAAAAGCTGTCACTTTAGAAAAGTTTGAAGTTAGATTGATTATCACTGATCTAATTCATTTATCTGAAATTATGGAAGACAAATCTAATTTGATAGATGTGTTCACTTACTTCATCTCAATTAATGAAGATTTGGTCATAAGCTGTTTGAAATCTTTGAATCTAACACCAGATTTGTTCGAAATTAGATTGACTACCTCTTTATTCAAATCAAATATATTGAATGAAAATACAGATGCTACTCAACTTGAATCAGAAAAAATCATGGGTAAGAATAATAAATCTGTAACATTTAAAGCTTTCTTAGCTAAGAATTCCCAATTTATAAACACTAGTGCAAAATCTATGTTGGTTGAATCAGATGAAAAATACTGCAAGTTACTTTCTTTATTTGTAGAATCCGTTGGTAAAGGCTATCCATCAGGTCAATTTTTGACTTCTTTCATCACTACTGTTGAAGCAAGAATGACATTCTTATTAAGAATCATTGTTTCACCAGCTGCGCCAACTACTTTACGTTTGATCGCATTAACAAATATTTCAAAGTACATGAGCAACATTGATAAAGATTCAAATGTCTTCACATTTGTACCATGTTTGTTGTGTGCCTTAAACGATGTATCTAAAAATGTTAGAAGTAATGTAAAGAAGATTCTATCACAAATCTCTAAGAGACCTTTTACAAAACATTATTTCCTACAAAACGAAATTTATGGAGAAAATAATGAGATACCAATGTTATCTCCAAAGGATGGTGAAGCTTGGCTAAACAAATTTCTATCTGATTATGTCGATGATAATTATGATATTTCTCATTTAATTATTCCAAAGAAAAATGATACAATGTACTTAGTATTTTGGGCAAACCAAGCTTTATTTATGCCATTACCTTATCCAAAAATGGTTTTATTGAACTATTTAAATAAACAAGGTAAAGCTTCAGCATTTTCAAATATTTTTGAACCATTTATGAAAACATATTTGGAAAATAGAAAGACTTGGGTTGAGAGATGTATTGCCAATAAAACAGATATTGATCAATTCGAATCATCAATTGCAGATGTCATTAGTTCAAAAGAAAAACACCAGTTTATGATTGATTTTATCATAAATGTATTGAATTCAGAACATGAATCCCTAGCCAATATCATTATAGCAAGATTAATCAAAGTCTTTACTTCTTTAAAATTTAATCATCAGCTAAAAATTGTGGAAACTATTGTTGAAGCTACTATTTCTCCAGAAGCAAACTACGATGCTGTTGCAATTTTACAATCACTTCCATTATCAACTGAAATATTCATTTCTATTTTAAAGGAAAATAAAATTAACTCAGATAGTGAAATCGCAGACTTCACTAAAAGAAGAAGAAGACGTTCTTCAACTAATAAGAATGCGCTACAAAAGGAAGAAGTTTCCTTACTTGCAGAACTTCATTTAAGAAAGATTACTTCGATTTTGGAGACTCTAGATAAGGCTAAGGTTACTGGTTCTGATGTTTTGCTTTCACATTTATTTTCTATTCTATCAGATTTAGAAACATTAGGTGAAGATGGTGGTTTACCAGTTTTGTATGCTGAGGAGACATTAGCATCTTGTATGTTGAACACTATCCAATCCTTAAAGGACAATGGTATTTCTAAATTGTCCAACGTAAGAGCTGATGTGTTGATTTCAGTTATTAGAAGTTCCCAATCACCTCAAGTTCAAAATAAGCTATTATTAGTGGTTGGATCTTTGGCTACATTATCACCAGAAACTACTTTGCATTCTGTTATGCCGATTTTCACATTTATGGGGGCACATATCATTCGTCAAGATAATGAATTTACTGCAAGTGTCGTTGAAAAAACCATTTTAACTATAGTTCCAGCCTTGTTGGAGTCTAACCCTGCTAATTTGAGGGATGAGATTGAATTCTTGTTAATTACTTTCACAACAGCATTGCAACACGTACCAAAACATAGAAGAGTCAAGCTGTATTCGACATTGGTTCAAGCACTTGGACCAAATATTGCCATTGCACCATTTTTGTTTTTAGTTTCTCAACAGTACTCTAATAATGTTGCTACCTTTAAACTGGGTGAAGCTAAGGCTTTTGTTGAGTTTACTAAATCATTCATGGCTAACTTTGATGCAATTGATCAACTAAATGGTATAAATGAATTCTTCAAATTAATCCACTCATTGATGGTTGAATCTAATGTAACTGAAAGAAATGCTAAATTTGAGTCAAGAGCATTGTTTACCAATGGTATTTTAAATTTCACTGATTCAGAAATGCTTTTGTTCTTCAAGAATGCTATTAACTTTGTCAATAATGTAATCAAAGAAAATTATATGGATTACTATGATATTAATGCAAGTTTGAAGGTTAGAATTTATTCTATGCTGTTAGATGTTAGAACAGATGGAGATATCATTAAATCTGTCAAATCAAACTTTGCATCTGTGATTTCTTCTATTATAATATTGGTCAAGGAAGTTAACCTATCAATTGGGCATACATCAGTTGAAGCTAATGAATCTTCATCTGAAGTTGAAACGACGGATTATAAAGTGGATACTAAGTCTGTTTTATTGGAAGTTTTGGGTAATTTCATGACCATTCTACCAATAGATGACTTCATTGATTCTGTTCTTCCATTGTTAGAATCAACAACTAATGAAGATGTTAGATATCATGTGACACTATCTATTTCCAAGAAGTTCGAATCAGAACCTCTCGACGCAGTTGATGCAGCTACTAAGACAATTAATGTATTGTTAGATAGGGTTAAAGTCGAGGAAAACTCTGTAAACATCCTTCAAGTTACATTGAATTCAGTTTCAACATTGGTTGCGAAATTTGGTGACAAGCTTGATAATTCATTGATAAACCGTATTCTAGCTATAGGTACATCCTATTTATCTTCTGATGAAAAAGCCAATTTGGTTTCTTCCATAACATTGATTACAAATAGTGTTCAAGTATTAGGTATCAAAGCCATTTCATTCTATCCAAAGATTGTTCGACCAATTCTAAAAATATTTAAAGAAATTAGAGAGGATAAGACATTATTCTTGAGACATCAATTGCAATTATCAATATTGTTGTTGTTTGCCGCCTTGATTAAACGTTTACCAAGCTTTTTGAATTCTAATTTGTACGAACTATTCGAAGTCATCTTTTATTCTGATGAAGTAGAGGTAACTACTAGATTGTCAGTAATTTCCTTAGTTGTGGAAAACATGGATAAGAAAGAAATCTTGAGAACGTTGAATAAGATATGGAACAATAGTGTCTGTAAAAGTGAAGATTCAATTGCGATTTCATTGTTCTTAAGTTGTTTAGAATCTACTACTGATGTAATTGAGAAGAAAGTCGCATCTACACAATCTCCGGTTTTCTTCAAATTATTGTTATCATTATTTGAATACAGATCTATTTCTAGTTTTGATAACAACACAATCAGCAAAATTGAAGCAACTGTGCACAAGATTGTTAACACCTATGTTTTGAAATTGAATGACAAAGTATTTAGACCATTGTTTGTCATTGTTATTAACTGGGCATTTGAAGCTGAAGGTGTTGTCAATAAAAATATTACTGAAGTTGAAAGATTGACAGCATTCTTTAAATTTTTTGGTAAATTACAAGAAAATTTGAAAGGTATCATTACCTCTTACTTCACCTATCTTCTTGAACCAACCAATACACTTTTGAAAAGATTCATTTCCAAGGACATCGCCGATGTGAACTTGCAACGTTTGGTTTTAATATCTTTAACTTCCTCATTTAGATATGATAAAGATGAATATTGGAACTCTACTTCAAGATTTGAATTAATTAGTGAATCTTTAGTTGATCAATTGACAGTTATTGAAAATGTCATCGGTAAATACTTGTCCAAGGCCATCAGTTCGCTTACAGCTAAGAACAGTAAAGTTGAGGAACACAATAAGATTATGTTGAAATTATTGGTTAACCATATGAAATCCACTTGTGACTCAAATGAAAAGTTGTGGGCAATTAGATCTTTGAAATTGATATATTCTAAGGTAGGTGAAAACTGGCTAGTACTATTGCCTCAACTTGTTCCAACAATCGCTGAATTATTGGAAGATGAAGATGAAGAAGTCGAATACGAAGTAAGAACTGGTCTAGTCAAGGTCGTCGAGAATGTTCTGGGAGAACCATTTGATAGATATTTAAGCTGATTTAATATCAATCGTAAAAACTTTAATATTATAATTAACCTCTGTATTGTATTATATTATATTATGTTGTATTATGTTGTATTATGTTGTATTGTATTGTATTGTATTGTATATTGTTGGATTAATATTTTAATGATATTTGTTGTTGTTGTCACGTGTCACCTTGTGTGTTTTTTCCTTACAGTAATCAGTATCGAGAATTTAAAATAAGAGAAACAATTCAACCGATTTCGAAAATAATATTGAAATTTATTTAAAGTATAATGAATAAAAGCTACAGTTATCAAGATTTGTTAATTGATTTGTAAATTAGCAAGAGTTCAGGAACTCGAAAGTATTGTGGGGGTGGTTTTGGTTGATTGATTGACTTTGAGGTTGTTCTGTGAGGTTTTTCCCAAATTTGTATAATAAAATATACTTTAGTTTCACAATGTCGAGTTTACCTACAACCACACAAGATCTCAAATCTGGGCCAACGAGTCGTGCAAACATTCCAATTATGTTCAGGAAGTTATTTAAGACACCAAGAAATTTAGATTTTGAAACTGCCATTTGGGAAATGTTCAATTTGATTTTTAAGCCAAGGAAAGCATTCAGATCTTTTTATTATCAACGTCAAACCAAACATCAATGGGCAAGAGATGACCCTTCCTTTTTTATTCTACAAATAGGTTTACTTACAATAAGTTCAGTAGTATGGTCAATTGTATATGGACATAGTTTTGGAGGTTTTTTAAAGATGATGATTAATATGGTGTTTGTGGATTTTTTTTTATTTGGATTTATTGTAGCTTCCTTATTTTGGATTATTTTAAATAGACCAATGTTTAAATTTAGATCTGCTATGGAGTCACAAGTTGAATGGGCCTACTGTTTTGATGTACATTGTAATGCATTTTTGATTATATGGGTTTCCTTATACTTTTTACAATTCATTTTGTTGCCAATCATTAATTTACATAAATGGATTGGTTTATTTGTCGGTAATACTTTATACTGTTTTGCATTCGCACATTATTTCATTTTAACTTTCTACGGCTATAGTCAATTGGCCTTTTTGAAAAATATTAACTTCATCTTATTCCCCTCATTGGCATTTGCTGTAATATATCTAATCAGTTTGATCGGTATTGACTTATCCAAAACTTTCAGCTTCTATAAATAAATTTAAATAATATGAAAGAAGGAATCAAAAAAAAAACTTTTTAAATGGTAAATTTAAAACTTTATTTCAGGAAAATTTATAAACAGAGTTTATATTATTGTAATGTATAATTAATCTTATATAAATAAATATACGGTCTTTTCAATAAGTAAGATGTCTGAAAAAATCAGAAGATTGACAATTGTAACAATTTAAATAGAGATAGAAAAATAAAATGAATTAATCAGTAGTTGAAGACTGTTGATTATCTATGTATTAAATATCATATAGAAAAATGAACCTAAAAATAATATTAACCTGTATATAGCTTTTAGAATAACTTTTAACATATGCCTATAGGACTCAATTGAAAATTTCGATTGGTGGTAACCTATCAGAATTATAAAACCAATTTTTGGATTCGACCTCTTTGGCTAACCATTCTGTTGGAAACATTACTAAATGGCCGTGAACTCTTTCTAAGATTCTCTTCGCTGTGTACTTATCAAAAATTCTACTATTAAATCCATACAATAAACTTCCAGATAAATTCATTTTTAATGCTGCTGCTTTTGCTCTCTTCTCCTTAGAACCTTTCTTTTCTTCGGTAGAAATCTCAGGGCCATTGTTATTACCATTTTCAGTCACACCATTGTCGTTATCTTCATCTGTTACACTTGTATTCTTAACCTCCTTGGCAATAATCTCTCCCCCACTTTTTTCCTTTTTAGCCGATTCCTCAAACTCCAGATCAATTAATAGCTCCTGATTTTTCATAAACTCATCTGACATTCTTTGGTAATCTTTGTAATCTCTCCAAGTTTGAACAGCATTATCTGGTTGAGAGTGGAATACTAACCTAAACAATAATGTGTTTCTTAGTGCAACAGAAAACCATAAATCTTCGTAAAACGAATCGGCTAATGGGTCTTCGAAAGAATATGGATCTATAAACTTCAAGGATAATACTTTGTTTTTTACAAAACTATTATTCTTAAATGTTGGTGTCATTTGCGTTAACAAATTATCGATAGATTCGTCATCTAGCTCCTGTTCTTGAAGGATATGTTCATGGCCCTCATGCATATTTGAATCATCTAAGGAGGACGTTCTAGTTCGTTTTGTAGTGATCCCTGGACCGATGAAGTTTTCACCTTCCTTGGTTTTGGTAGTTTTAAAAGAAAGATGTTGTAAATACGAAATTCTTTTTAACATGTCCCACTTACAGTTATCGGAAACTGCTTCTGATGATAAGTATACTTCGACGTCATTACGATCTGGTAAAAAGTCCGACGTTGGGTCTCTAACTTTGTCTAATGTCCTTGTTGATAAGGCTTCTAAGGCCCAATCTCTTAATTGTGTTGTTACAGACTCTTTAAATTTAGGGGGTAACGTTTTCCAGCCATCTGGACCTAATCCTTCTACTTCCTTTTGATGTTTAATATTATTTGTTAATCTTGGATCTGTACTAATAGTTTTCTTCTCATAGATACCTATATTTTCTTCACCAGCTCTATAGTTGAAGGTGTGATATTTATTGAAGCACGCATTATTGTCATGATTGTGTTGGTTTTCTTTAATTTTTCTAGATGGCAACTTCGATATTCTACTTGCATTATCATCTGACACTTGATCCCCATACAGACTTGTATTACCTCTAAAGTTAAAGTTCTCCTTTAAATCTGAGTTAATCCCCTTAACAATGCCAAAATTATCTATTTCATTAGCATCGTATTTGGATATCCATAACTCACTAAAATCACAATCAAAAATCTCACGGTAACCAAGTTCGATCATTGAAGATGTAATCTTTCCTTCTTTTTTTGATCTATTGTCGCATGTATGTAAAGTCCTGTAGTTTTTTCTTGCAAACTTTTCTAACCTGCCAAACTTTCTCTCCACAATCTCAACTAAGTTCAACGGTCGCATCCAAGATGCTCTCTCATTAATCGTTGACGAAGTTCCCAAGCAAACCTTCCGGCATAGTATTCTTTACCATTCATTTTGGTTTTTACAAAATCAGTATCACGTATAACTATTGCAACTTCACTATCTCTATTTCCTGCCTGAGATCTTTCATTAATATTTGCACTACCAATAATGCAATTTCTATCATCTGTTATTAATAATTTTGCATGAACGTATAATTGTTCAGTAACAATTTTATCCTTTGGCCCAATAGTTGACCACTTTCTTAATGAATAAAACTGTATGTATTGAGTAGGATCTATATTCAATTTTCTCAATCTCGCAAATATTGATGTCTCACCTCTTGATATGGACTGGTATTGACATTGCATGATAATACGTAAACTTGATGCTTCCGGTTGATCTATAGGGGAATCAAAACCAGGCATCAATGGAATAATAATAAATGCCTTCCATACTTTTCCTTCACTATTTGCTCTAATAATTCTATCAATAATAGCATCTCCAATTTTATTTTCAATGACAACACCATCCCATTTGGATGTGGTAATAAAAAATTGATTTTCAATGTACATGTAATGTTCACTTGTTTCAATTAACTTCAAATAGGCATTTTGGATAGATTTTTCAGTCTCTTTTAATCCCATTGACCAATATCCAGTACTTCTGAGGATTTGAGCTTCGCAAGTTGATTGTGCTTTTAATAATTGGAAGAAAGGTGAATTGTTTAATTCAAATATTGTAAAATCGCTAGGAGGTGTTAACAATGGTGTAGGCCTACTTGGACGTTTTTGTCTTAATAAATAATTCCATCTTTGGACAAAATGTCTTGCTATATCACGGGCTGGTTCCCCTACTGTCATCATATGTACATCATGCCATGGCATACGAGGTAGCTCATTTCTATCGTACATGGATTCAAAAGGTTTGTCAAGCTCATAGAAATCACATATACGAGCATTTGAATAATCTTTACCTGGAAAAGTTTGATCTTTTAGATCAGAGAAGTCATCCCTTAAAACATGTTCAGGAGTATCATAACGACCATAACAAAGGTCAATACCTCCCATAAATGCAATAGAATTATCAATAACTACTAGTTTTTCGTGATGGGCCCAAAAATACGTATTTTGAAGCCATTGGTTGGGGGAACGAATTAAATGAATATTTGGATGTAAACTCAGCATTGAATGTTTAGTCCACAGACTATCTGTACCAACAGTACTTCCAACATTTCTGTATACAACTATGAATATCTTGACACCTTTTTCTGCCCTCTCCTTCAAAATTCTGTCTACTCTATACTCTTGGTTTCCGTTAACAGGACGACGCAAATACAACTCTGGAGACAACCACCAATCATGGATATATATAACATCTTCTGCCATCATTAATGCATCGCTCAAAGCCCAAAAATAATCTCTACCATCGACTAAAAACTTACAATACGCATTTTGTCTAACTGGTGCGTAACTGTTAAATCTATGTTTTTGAGACCATATTGTTGATTTTGCCATTTGAAGAATAGATGAGACCCATTGTCTTAGCATGTAATCTGATGAAGTAATTACCTGTAATTTTCTTTCGCTGTTTTCTAATGTAATTATCAAATTTGTTGGTAATTTTCTGATGTGTTCCTGTGTTAAATCCATGTCTCGTGCATACAAATCCTCACCACTCCCAGAGAATCTGACTTTAAACTCTGAGTCTACTAAAAAAATATCCAAAGGTGTAGTAGAATAAAGATCTGACACATACATTATGTAGGAGTTTCTAATAAGGAACCACTTATTTGTGTGACGAGCTATCATTTCCCTTAAGCCATTCACCTTAAAATGAGAAACTCTCCAACCTTGTGTTTTTGCACTGGATCTAATTACCAAATAACCTTCTTTGCCTAAATAACCATCGTCATAACTCAAAAAATTACTAATTGGTGAAAATTCATAAAACTGGAATAATCTGTTAGCTTGAGGTCTTAGACATAATGCTACATTTAACAATCTCAGATATCTTTGTAGCCGTATATGCATTGGTAATGAGTAGTCATCCTTTTCGTCTATCAAATCTTGTAGATGCTTTAATTTTACGGTATCGGCAATATGAAAGTTTAATGAAAGTCTTGAAGACAAAAGAGATATATTATCAGCATCCTGTGTATGTTGATATGGGGCAGGAGAAAATGCCCTAGGTTTTTCGCTACTAAATGATTTCCTAAAGTCATTAACTCTTGGAAATTTTGGTAAATGCAATGGATGGTATCTGTTATTATCTATGTATAATTTGTTAACTGTATTTTGGTGGAACATAACAATTTTAAGTTTTTTATGCATTGTGGCCAATTCTTTGTATGATTTTACAATTGACCATTTCATTCTATTTTCTCCTACACCATACTCCAGGTTCAATTTATATAACATGTTTCCATGTCTCCTATCTTCAAAATCACTAAATATTGAAGATGTTGATGTAGTTGTTGATGCATTACTAGCCGTGCGTCTAATTGGGCTACTTGCCAAATTTGGATTACTGAAGCTATAATTTGATAAGCTGAAAACTTCCGAAAAATTGTTACCTTCTAAAGGTTCTACCGTAACACCTAGCATTGCCAGTAGCAATGGTGCCCTTTTATGACCATGCTCATCTCTTAAAAATTGTGTACTCGCAAATAAGGCCGCAGGACAACCTGCTAAAAGAGAGCTTATCAAATCAGATGCTAACCTTTGAGTATACAAATCCTCTTCTTCCTCGATTTGTTGATATAGCTGTCGTTGGTTATTATTGTTAGTATTGTTATTATTTATTATACCGTTATTTGGTTTAATATTTTTCAATTTTGACAAGACAGATATTTTTTTAAATGCACTATTAAATTCTTTCTTCCAAGCATTGAATTGTTCATCGGTATGTGCTCTAAATGATTTTCTTCTTTCACTTGTATTACTACTCGAAGCAGCCATATTATTTTGATTGGAATCTTGACGATCAAATAATAAACTTTCGATGAAATTTGAACTTCTTCTTCTCGGATTTCTCAAACTGGATCTATTCGAATCATTACTGACAGCTTGGGAAATACTACCACCACCAGAAACATTAGATAGTTCATCATTGGAATTCACAAAAGACTTATAGTAACTACCTCTCCTAACTGAATTTGGTAACCCTTGGAAAGTTAAATTTTTAATCTCTGCTTCCGGATCCACATCGGTAGCCAATGAGTTAATTATCTTATTTTCATCAATTACATCAACCTTATTTAATAAGTTGTCACTACTCTTAGCCTTGTTCCTGGAAGATGATGATACTTTGCCTTCTTCAATAGTAGGTTCAGGTAGAATTATACCTTTAAAAGATTTTGTGGACATTAAGAAATGCAATCACAGGAAAATAAACTACAGCAACAGCAACAAAATTAACCCTACTCGATACCAGATCTTTACAACCCCATAAATCCAACCTATCCTGACTTAAAACAACTTCTTAAAGCTTCTAATATCATATTTCTTATCTTAGCCTTCCCTTATACTCTATTTAAAGATGTCGATATGTTATTTAATCTTAATCGTTACTAAACAAAGCGCGATAGAGAAGTAAAATTGATACACCCAAATTAAACCTGGAGAGGAAAGAAAAGTAGGTCACGTGATGTAGGTAATAGATGTTAGTATTAATCTATAGACGAAAGAAAGTTTTGCTACAAGGCATATTTCAATGTTATTGAAGTTGTTGTTTAATGTAAGTCAATCAATTTTAATTGTATCATTTAAATTATGCCGAATATTAGAATTTAAATACTTTCTTATAAGGATATAAAAAAAAATACGTTTAGTATCTAAGAATCTAAATAAATGAAAGTTTGATTGAAAGAAATAAACGTTAAAAAACATAATTGGAATCTAATTGAAGGTACCTAATTACTCGTTCTAAAGTTTTGGTTCATGTAATTACTAAATGATTACAGTAGAATACTAACACCCACGTATATTATATAAGTACAAAATTTTATCTAGCTTAATCTTGAAGAAGGAGGCAGTAAGAGATGTTTTGCCAATTCATATGAACTCCAGGAAATTGCTGTCGCTGGCACATTTGCAACAACCCTCGGTCTTAAACCTCTGAAGAATCCAGTCCAACCATATGTGGTGTAGATAGCCTTTGCTGCTTTAGAGAATGAATCTGCTTCTTTGAATGCCTGCATTGAGATTTTTTTACTACCACGAACTTGCAAGACGGTCTTGATACAATCTAATGGCGTCGTCACAATTGCTGCAATCCCACCACTTAATGCACCACAACCACAGTGGATATATGGGTTATATATATGTGAAGGATTGAAAAATTGCATAGATGAATCATATATTACAAAATTCAATATAGAAAATGGAACATCCATGGCGACTGTAGTAGGATATGAATAGAAAAAAGCTTTCAAACCTTCGTTCTTACTAATAGATTTAGTAGTGTACCAGAATTTTGATGCGGATTCCAATTGCATTCTTTGTTTTATTGTATCAATGGGAGTCATCACAGCATCAGAAGCTACAGTGGCAACGAACCCACTTAAAGCAACTTTAAGAGGATGATACTTACTAGTGTCATTCTCATCTATCAAAACAGTCTTCAAATATTCGTACGCACCAAAATAGACTGCATGTGCAGGCCCTGCTCCTAAAAGAATTGGTTGGATACCTTTCCATAACGACGATGCCCCTTCTAACTTAATAACGTTGTATAAACTACCTAAAACTGTGGCAGAAGAATACCTAGCTGAATGAATAGCAGTAGCAGTAGAAGTCCCAGTTCCTCCAACTGCAATTTGCATGCTAGGTGCAGCTTGGATCTTAGTCTTTATCGTGTCGACAGGGAACATTACAGAGTGCTCCATAATACCAGCAAAGGCACCAGCAACCATCTGATAATGCAATGGAGATTCATTAGGCATCGATTCATACTCTATTGGAATATGTTGGTTCTTCTCGGACTCTATCATCTATCACTATTCAATCAATTCTTAAATTTTATAATATATTACTTAAACGGCTGTGCTGCAGAGCAAATAAAGCTTGTTGGACCCTATTTTTAATATTGTTATTCGTTGGTTGCAACAAATCAATATAAATGTATACTAAATAACACCAAAACTAAAAGGCTCAGAACATATATTGATATATAAAGATACAATTATAATATACTCAACAATTTAACGCCATCATCTCTTCGTATCTGATCCATGATATACTGCAACTTTTTCAAGATGCATCACCTACGTTTAGGTGACTACTTCAAAAAAAAAAAAAATATCGATGAGTTGAAAAAAAAGGTGAAGATAGCAAGAGATTATTAATCAAGTTTGGAAGGGATTATAGGAGAATATATGATGGAGTTTTAATTATACATTGGTCAATAACAAGAATAATCTATTCCTTTCATTTGTGTGATATTTTGATTCCTTGCTGGTGTAATATTTTATTTTTAGATGAATCACCTTATCTTGTTGGCATTCAAGAGCTTCGAATTTTAATGGTAGGAGTTTAATATGCTATTGTGATCTCTTTGAAAGACAATGCCCTCTTTGTTTGTAGAATAGTTATTATTATCTTAATTTCAAGTAATTATAGATTAGATGGGCAAGGATAAAATTAATGTGAAGATGATACACTGGAAATTTCTAAATGATGCATGCAGTTTTTATATGTCTATGTACTACTATTTAATGCCAAAAATAATACACATTGTATTTAGTCTCTGTAGTATAATGTAATGAAGAATATGTTTTGTTTAAAATATGAGTCTTGATGAATTTATAACACTAGACTGTTACAAATTGGTATCAATTGTGAAAATAAAATTGGACAGACTAGACAAACCGTCATTGGAACTACTGCATATCTGAAATATTTACCTAGGACACCTATACAATCTGTAGGCTTTGATTTTGTAAATTTCGCAACAGTTGAATTAAATAATCTAATTGAAGGCTTACTGACGACGTATAACCAGATAGATACACATGCAATACCCACTATCAACTTTGTTAATATACCGATTGGGGTGTTGCTTTCTTTTGATCCAGTAGCATCTATCCATTTCATACCGTATCGTTTTATTATCCAATCACTCATATCAATACCTGATACGACGCCTAAGAAAGAGACAGTATCATCAAAACATGGACATTCATCGATCGGAATTGGGTGTGTGTAAAGTAAAAATAGTGGAATTCCAATACTTGCAACTGGATACCATATAGATTGCTTAACAGCATATTCTGTTAGGAGAGGTTTTACGATCAATCTTGCAATAAATGTTGCTAAACCACACATCGCACCTGTGCTTAAATCTAATATACCATGCATACCACAGTAAATCCTTCCCAATACTAAGGTTAAGAAATATAGAATAACTATAGTTGTGAACACAATTCTTGATTGTAGCGATAAGATTTCTGATTGCCATATTAATTGAATAAATAGCAAACTCACTGCTGTGGCATTGGCGGTATGAGAACTTGGGGCACCGTATTCTTTTGTTGTGTATGCACTTAAAGTTAACTTTTCTACAGGTGGGGATTCAGGTCTTGGCAAACACCAATAATCTTTTAGTAATCCAGATACATAGATGGAATAACCTAATAGATAAACCATGTCACGACACAAATCGTACGCGCCAAACCAAGCAGGAAGTGGTATAGCTATAACATAAAAGGTATGGGAACCACATAGGGAGGTATATTTGAAGAAGATATCTCTTATTGGAGTTCTATGCTTCTTCTGCCAGTCTGCAATTTGTTGTGATTGGTTATTTATATATGGCATTAGCCATTCTCTCATTGCGAATCTAGTAGGAGACATGTTTTCTTTGAAGAAAGCAGTTGGTTGAGTTCCTGCATCTGGACATTTTGTTTCCTTTTCCTGTGGAGCCGGTTTAGCACTATCTTCAACACCCTCTATAGTCTTAACCTCGGCCATGCTTGAGATGTCTGTCTTTTAGTACTTTTATGATTGAACGACAAGAAATTCAAATCGATACCTTTAGTCTAAAATGGAGAACAAAAGATAATCAAATCCAAATCTATACTATCAACAATTGATTTGTTTATATAGTATCGAGTTATATATAAGAATAGAACAGAATAGCCCTTCAAATAAAAGAATTCTACTCCCTCTCCTATACCACGAACAACAATTTCAAATACTATATGTATGGGCTAACTAATTCTATTATTATAAAATTTATCCTATATATCCATCGCTATCTATAGAGGTAGTAAGCATGTATTAAAAAAAAAAAAGAAAAAAAAAATTTTCGAGCTTTCAAAAACCTAGCTATTTTACAAGACCCATCCCACCCATCTAAGAATGAACCAATTCAATCCTTGTATCAACAATACCGTGCAACTAAGCATAGTAACATCCAAACGATGAATACATCAAGTAATCGACCAGTCTCTTTAAGCTCAAAATCAAGAGTGAAACACGGTGTTTCTATCAACATATGCATACGGTTGTTTTTCTGTGGATTGATATTTTTTTTGGGTTCATTCATTGATTTTTAATGCCTTACGAAATCAATCAATCGATGCATCCATCAATCAATCAATCAAGCAATAGACCAATGAATCAGTGATTGCAGAGGAAGGTTTGCTTCTGTTGCTATTGCTATTGCTGTTTTGTTTTATTTAATTTCAATTCATTATATTCTCGGATTATCAACAGAGAGAGAGGGAGATAAATGATGTATAGCAGTAAGATATGACATAGTTCATAGCCACTACAACACTACATCTTGCACATATAATTAACTTAACTTATGCTGTGAGCAAAATAATCTTTCCAAGGCTATGTATGAATTGTGGTTTGATTTAATTCGTTAATGACTACTAAGCAACATGGGACAAGAGAGTTTAACATAACTTAACCTCTTTCGAAACAAGAAGTTGTTAGTTTGGGCTGTTCCCCCTTCAACGTGTTGTTGGCTGTACTGTACATATAGCATTTTGCGAGACTAAATAAGGTATCAAATCAACAACAATTCCTTGTTTTTATTGTAGCGTGTAATTTCTGTGTAATGCCAATGACCTTATAGAATTTGGTTTTTTGTTTTGTTTTCATTTTCGGTTAAGAAACTGGTGTAGGAACATGCCAATATCTACTATTTGATCCCGCCTTAGCCGTTTCTTTTTCTGTTTGGTGGAAAAGGATTTCTTTTCTTTTTTTTTCTTATTCGGATTCGGTCTCAGAGACATTGACGGTGAGTGAGGGCGGAGAAGGAACGTCAAAAAGAACAATTGGTGTTTTGTTTCTTTTTTGGTGAACCGAATTGACTGGACATTGGAAAAAAGAAAGAGCTAAAGAGTTTCGTTTCTTTTTGTGTGTGTGTGTTTAAAGCGAAAGTTGATTATACTACACCGCTAGTTTAACTTGGCGGAGAAGCAGGTTAACGTAACAGAAGTTTCTGTCTTCCGCGGCCTCTCCCCTTTCCCCAGTTGGAAAGTAGGTAAAAAATTATTATAGTACTGAGTGATATGCCAGCACAAAAACAGAACCTGACCGTGGGGAGGGTAACATTAATCTTCACTAACTAATGTTTCAATATAATAGAACGTCCAAATTACTAATGAATATTGAAGTTTATGGGTTTATTTTTTTTTTGAAATCAGGCCAGGTATATCCTAAAATACACCATCAGTTAATACAAATAAATGAACTTTAATATAAGTATTATTTTTTATTGATTTAAGTTCGTTGAAGAGAGTTTTTGCATAACTAATACAACAATCAGAAATAGGGTATATGATGATTCTTCCACGGGATTGTCCATTCCCATTACAACACTCCGCTTTCATCTCTCAACTATATTCTCTGGTTTGAAAAATTAAAAGAACAACATACTTTTAATAGGAAAATGTGACCAATCTCGTTTTATTTCGAATTTGAACCTGGTAATTATATTGTTCTATATGTATGAACTGACACAATCTTATTGTTCTTTATTTTCGTAATCTTTTTTGACGCGACAGACACTTTTAGTTTCCATCTTCTTATTTTAGCCTTGTTCTTGATTTTTTAATATCATGTTCTACGTTTAATCACGTGCTAGATACTTTCTTCTTTTTACTTGTTTCTTCTTTATTGAAAATTTGTTTTCGAATCGCTATCTAGTCGAATCGAATCGAATCGATGAGCTTCACTTAATATGTAGAGAATAGAACTTCAACATTGAAAATAAATATAAAACATCTCTAAGATACTGATGATATCATAATTTACTCAATTGATGATTAGTATTCAGCAGCTATTGATTAAAGTAGATGATAAATTTACATTTACTCCATAGACTTTCTTCAAGATCATTACCAAGATTATATAATTCTACAAAAATCTTCAAAATGTCTGAACCACTAATACCAAATGATTCAGTCAACATCGTTAACAAAAGGGCAATTAATTCGAATTCTCAAAATAGTATAAAATCGAAAAAACCAAAATTGAAAAAATATAAAGCCAAGAAAGTTGATTCAACATCACCTTTAGGTGTTTTACAATTCGAGATTGATGAATTATTAAATGAAAAAAAACTAAATCGTGGTGATATACAAAATGATATCTCATCTATTTTAAATGATTTCACAAAGGATGAAAATTCTATTTCAAATAAATATCATCGTGAAGTACAAAACGTTGAAGTTTTAAAAATTGGCGCCAATGGTGATGGTTTGGCCCTTATCAAAAATCCTGTAGAATCAGAAAAATTTCAAATTGTTACTGTACCTTTCGGTTTACCTGGTGATATTGTAGATATTAAAGTATTCAAGACTCATCCACATTATGTAGAAAGTGATTTATTGAAAGTTGTCAAGGGATCTTCAATGCGGGATGATAGTTTGATCTCTTGTAAGTATTTTGGTAAATGTTCAGGTTGTCAATTCCAATTTTTAACTTATGAACAACAATTGAATCTAAAAAAGAATACAGTTATTAATGCATACAAATTTTTTGCTCCAAAATTATTAGCTGAAAATTTAATCCCAACCGTTGGCGAGACAATCGGTTCCCCATTGAAACTTGGTTACAGAACAAAGCTAACTCCACATTTTGATGTCCCAAGAAAAGTAAAACAATTAGAAGAAAAACCACCTCTAGGTTTTGGTCAAAAAGGTAGACCAAAATGGAGAAGTCAAACACTTGCCGAAGGTGGAAGCGGTTCCATTCTAGATATTGAAGAATGTGTCATCGGAACCTCTATAATTAATGAAGGTATGTGCAACGAGAGAAAGAGATTTGATAAAGAATTCACTAAATATAAGAAAGGTGCAACCATATTATTGAGAGAAAATACTACCATTTTAGATACAGAAAAGCCAGTTTACGAACAGTTAGATGAAGGTTCTACCGATATCGACAAGGAGGATAAAATTTCCTATGTTGAAGTTGAGGACAAAGAACATGATAAAAAACTAGCAAAGACTTGTGTAACCAATACGAGACAAATTGTTAAGGAATACGTAGATGGGTATACCTTTGAATTCAGTGCTGGTGAATTTTTCCAAAATAATAATTCAATATTACCAGCAGTTACCAAATATGTTCGTGATAATTTACAATTACCAAATAGTGACACTTTACCACGTTACCTAGTTGACTGTTACTGTGGTTCAGGTTTATTCAGTATTTGTTCTTCAAAAGGTGTCGATAAAGTTATTGGTGTTGAAATTTCTGCTGATAGTGTTTCATTCGCAGAAAAGAATGCTAAGAACAATGGTATTGACAATTGTAGATTTATTGTCGGTAAAGCTGAAAAATTATTTGAATCTATAGATGTTCCAAAGGATAGAACCAGTGTAATTTTAGATCCTCCAAGAAAAGGTTGTGATGAATTATTTTTGACACAATTATCCTCATATTTCCCAGCCAAGATAGTTTACATTTCCTGTAATGTGCATTCACAAGCAAGAGACGTTGAGTTTTTCTTAAAAAATACAGAAAATGGATCTCATTATAAAATCGAAAGTTTGAGAGGTTTTGATTTCTTCCCACAAACCCATCACGTAGAAAGTGTATGTGTACTATCAAGAATATGATTATTTTTTAAACCTTGAATTACATTTAGATTAGTATGCCCTATTATCCAAATCTAAGAGATCTCAATTAGCATAGTGAACAAATTAAAAAATATAAAAATAAAATAAAATAAAAATAAAATTACAGGCATACACACACGTATACGCAGTCATGTATATACTGCAAGTTCACTCTAATTTATTATTTATTTGTAATGCAGTAATTGCCTATACTCATTTGTATTTATATCCTATTTATAAACCCATTTAATCTCAATCGATAGACACAGATTTATAAATTTGTCAAGGAATGGTGACAGTGTCATGCATATTTCAACTGTCTACCATTTTGTACAAACAGTGAAAAGATTTGATGAAGCAGTGACAAATTTCAAGTGACTATACATCCATACACCTAATCACTTAAAATTAACACCCGTACACAAACAAGTTCCTATTCGGGGTGAGGGAAGTCTACTTAAATTATTCCTCACTTCTACAAAGTTTCACAAATTCCCACATATGTACAATACAACGTCAAACATAACCACTGTAAAACAACTGTACGAACAGAACAAAGTCAAAACAAGGAATTTAATTCATCAAGGTAAAAGCGACGCACAAAAATGCGCATGAAAAATTAACACCAGCAACTTTTTTTTTTTCACCAAAAATTTTTGAAATTTATTTTTTTTGTTGTGAGTTCGAACTGCAAAAAAAAAATTTCAATGGATTTCCCTTTTCGGATATTCTACTACATCTCTCCATAGCATTATCTTGTTAATATCGTTAGTTACTTTACTTTCTTAGCTGAACTTGACTTTAATCTATCCATAATCAATTTTTGTTCATTCAATATCATTCAATAATAGTGATTATTGATTATTGATTATTGATATTGTTAATGGTTGGTACTTATCATTTCAATTTATACTATACAGTTTGAATTGTAGACAGTTAACACTCGTCTGTATGCATGTAGGTGTCTGAATTATAGAGTATTCTTGATGATAGTAGTAAAACTGAACTTGAAGAAAATAAAAAAATATTGAAATTTTGATCTTGTGTGTGTATTACTATATATAAACTTTACTTGTAGATTTCTTATATTTTTCATTATTGCTAGCATAGATAGACCAGAGAGTTAAGCCAAAATGGAAAACGATAGAGGTCAATTAGTATGTGTGGAATAATCAGTATTTGAGATAGTTTATGTGAAAAAAATACCTGGGAAGATAGATTCAGATGAGAGGATGAATACGATACGATACGATACGATACTATGTAAGAGAAATGGATACATATTGGAAAATTTGAATTTGGTCAGGATTTAGTCTCTTGAACAAATCTAGAGATATAATGAAAAGTTTAGTGTTTTTGTTTTGTTTGAGTCCTAATGAACATACATATTTATGTGCGCAGAATAGAAAAAGATACATGGATGAACTAGAATACTAAATATTTGTGTCAAATAATAGAGATATACACTAGTTAATTGCCCCCATCTTCCTCGTCCGCCAGAGAATATATGAATTATATAATTGTATTACACTATTGAATTATTGAAATAAATTATTGAAATGAATTGAATTGAAATGAATTGAGCTGAACAGGTCGCCCCAGGTATCGCATATTCTCTCTTATTTCCTCTCAATCAATGGCTCAATTGAAATGAGGGAAATGAAAATAACTTTTAAGTTTAATTTTTAATACAATTGAAAGATTTTGTTACTAACGTTATTATTTAATTAATTATTATCTTTAGGTCGAACTTTACGTTCCAAGAAAGTGTTCTGCCACTAACACCATCATCAAGTCTAAGGACCACGCTTCTGTCCAAATCAACATCGCCAAGGTTGATGAAGAAGGTAGAGCTATCCCAGGTGAATACATCACTTACGCTTTGTCCGGTGATGTCAGAGCTAGAGGTGAAGCTGATGATGCTTTGAACCGTTTGGCTCAAAACGACGGTTTGATGAAGAACGTCTGGTCTTACTCCCGTTAAAACAAAATACAGTGGTTCACTTTTATATAATTGAATAAAACTTCATATATATTTACTACTTTATTTTAATTTATAATAATCAAAAAGTTCTAACTCATTATATCTCGTACCCATCTCCATCCATATTACACAATTACGTACTAAAAATTTAGGTAGAACAATAAGAACGACAATGACGACTACAACAACGACCGATAATATCATCAACCAAGCATTTACCAAGCATCAACCAAGCATTAAACAACAGCAACTGCCCAATACCACAATTGAAACAAGAGAGTTATGATATTCGAATACTCACTAAAAGAAACGTTTTTCCTACTAATCTTGACGTTCACTTTAACCCAAAACTGAAATGGTCCCTAGCCCTTCTTGGACTCAAATCTCAAGGTAATCGTTGTTGGAAGGTTTTGACTACAATATTAGGCAACCAAATCTCACCTCTGTCAGATCTTCCATTCCAAAACCCCCCAAAATTTCTTGTCAAGTCACCGTTCTGTTCAATCCTTCCAGTTTCAGTACTGTAACATTATCTCATCGTATTATTTTAAGTTATATCGCAGAGATAAAGGACTATTTCCGTAAATGGACAGAACATAAATAAAAACAATTTCTGAAGAATATAAGTATAATATATATAAAAAGATGGTATTAAAAGTTATAAATAGTTCTTATTTCAAGTAATATAGGACAATAGAGAGTGGTTCAGCGTTTCGATATTGGTGGTATTGGTTGTGGTTATAGTATTTGCTTTAATTTGTGACTTCTTTTTAATTATTTGTGACGTTACTATTTATCAAAAAGCAAAAGAACCAGTTCAAGCATAAATTAAGCCCCTTATGTCACAAGAGAAAGTTGGTATTTTCACTTTACTTTATTCTTTGGATTATTTGCCTGGTGTGTATACGCTTGGTTACCAAGTCAAGAAGCTTTTGGAACAGTCGAATAGAGTTGGCTCAATTACTTTGGGTTTATTAGTTTCTAAAAATCTCTGGGAACACAGTATTGACGAATATAACAGAGATGTCTTGTCAAAGTTATATCAAGACATTGTGCAATTTGAAGACGATCTAGACCAATCCCATTATGATGAGATTAATTCTGAAAATTTGAAACTTTTACAAAGACCTGAATTATCCTTTACCTTTTTCAAATTAAATTTATGGCAACAAATTAAGTATGCTAAAATTATCTATCTTGACGCAGATACTTTACCTTTGAAATCGACTTTCTTGGATATTCTAGATTTAACATCAGAACAGAATAAGCATGAGATTGCCGGTGCTCCTGATATCGGTTGGCCAGATATGTTCAATAGTGGTGTACTATCACTAATACCAGATTTACAAATTTATCAGGATTTGAAAGCTTTTACGGTGGAAAACTGTTCCATTGATGGTGCTGACCAAGGTATATTAAATCAATTTTTTAATCCTATATGTTTGGAAAATGAAAATACCTCAGCTCGTAATTGGATTAGGTTACCATTTTTGTACAATATGACAATACCTAATTCTGGTTACCAGTATTCTCCAGCGGTTAAAAATTTTGCTGACAAAATTAATATTGTTCATTTTATTGGTGCAGGAAAACCATGGAAACAAGGAAGAGATACAAATACCGACAATAAATATTTCTCTATTTGGAATGATATCTTCACACAATTTGGTGTTGAGTATATGTTATCAGCAACTTTCGCGGAAACTGTTGAAATTTCAGAGGAATGTCACAGAGAACAACAAAATTGGGTTGGAGAAGAAATTGGTATAGAGCAAGAGATACAACATGAAGTCGACTATTCGAAAGTTGAATGTAATGGAATTGATTATGGTCCAGTTGGTAATTATGACAATGATACTTTGAAAACCATTCAGGAATCAAGAATCAATTCAAGCTTTGTCTCCCAATTTCAGTATCAACCCGAACCATCTGCGCCAGTTCCAGAGCAGTTCACTCAAGGGTACATTGAGGAGTGTCAAAATGAGGGAAATCAGGAAATGCCTATCGAAAACCCACATGAAAAGGAGGAAGAGCAACGCCAACATACTGTTATCCCTCATGGTGACGATTTAATTGTTATCAATGACGATCAAAAAGTCTCAGTGTACCCTCTTTCACAATCTAGTGACAAAATTATTTATGGAAGATTATTACCAAGTTCTAAATTATCTAGTACATTATCATACGAAAAATTGATCAAACAAAGTAAGACACATAAATTATTTGACTGGGAATCTACTGACTATATCAAGAACGTCGAGAGATCTTTCCCTGAGCCAGTAGATGACGAAGAAGAAGAGCTAGAAGGGGAAAATGAAGAAATAAATAACGAGTCGTCTCTGGAAGACGATTGCGACGAAAACGGTTGTGAGGCCCAGAATAAAGATGATAATATTCCTCAACAACCACAACAGAAAATCAGCCCTATTTTCGAATGGGAAAGAACCGATTATCTTTCTAGGGTTGAACGTGTGTTTGATTTTTAATTAAATTAACAGTAATAATAATATTACACTATGTTTCATGAAGTAATAGACATACCTTATGCTCAACTTATTCAATACCCACCATGACCCATCGCCACGATTTTCCATTTATCATAAAATGCTTCGAACTCAAAATAAATTCAATAAATGTGACAATACCTTATCTTTGAATTTGTTATTTTTTTTTTGCAACTATCCTGGATATATCACTGAAAAGTTAAGTTCAACATATCGAAACGAGATGCATTTTGAGAACACCCTCCCCCCATCAACCCCAATGCGATATAATATAATACAATACAATACAATAGAATAAAATACATACAATTAGATGCAGCTAGGCTGCATAACCCTAATTGTAAATTATGTTTAAAGCTTTTTTATTTTTAATTTAGTTTTGAAATCTCTGTACTCTCCTTATGTAACGAAATTTTATATGAGTGTAACGAATATAATGGCATATACATAATAAGTATTGCATTCTCTGACGTGGACTGGAATCGTTCACCAATTAACCAACCGAACAATGTAGGACATTCACAAATCTATACTGTGAGGGTGACCAAATCCAATGGTGATACCTGTAACAATTCTCAAGATCTGACTACCAGAGATTGAACCAGTGAGCTGCGATACAGACAAATTTACAGAGAAGATAACAACAGTTGGATATACAGCCATCCCAAAAGGGTATATCAGATAAATAACCACAATCTGTTGCTGGATTACCATATCGGGAAATGCAAAACTGCGAGATACCAGCATTCTTATCTCCTACGACATGTCCTTACACATATGCTAACAGTTAACCACAAAAAAACAACAACAGCACAATGAAAAAAGAAAAGAGACATGGTAAAACAAGTTGAACGTGTCGTTGACATTCAGAAACGAAACGTAAATCATGATATTTCCTGGGTTTCTAGTTGAGAAAGATATTCATAAAGCAGTATCTGAACTTCTAGCATCTGTGATACCAAAACTAATAAGATACCATATTCAAATCGATGTTGAACCAAAACAACACTTCATGAATATTTGTCTACAATACAGTGTCCCCATGTCTCGAAATATCGAAATGCATGTCTCGTCTGATTAATTACGGTTTTTACACTCTCTACTATTACTGCTATTAAAAGAAACAAGAAAAAAAACAGTTTTTTTTGATTCGAATCCATTCCAATTACGTCATCATAGCTCAATCTGCAACTTCCGGTTCTTATTGTCAATGCTCGAAACAGATTTGAAAACGCTCACCGTTTCTGGATCATAACTTCAGGTTCCTACCATTATATTTATAAGTCTTTTGATATGTATTCATATATAGATATATATATTGATATATGTCCACGCCGATAATGAAACATAACAGTCAGCATACAATTACTTATATTGAACCAAGGTCAAACAGAAAACAAATTTATTCCTATAAGTTTTTCAATCCCATTCCTTTTATGGCTTTGCAGTTAGAGGAGTTGACAGAAGTTTTCTTTATTTGTTAGCCTTCATCTCTTAGTAAGAATAGTTCGAAGTATAAGTCGAAACCTAATTTGAACAATAGCAGTGATACATTGGCATTCAAAAAAAAGTGTATCACTCATTGCTTGAATATGATGTAGTACTATAAGAGACAGGTATTAGGTGTTTTGTATCGTTTATCTGGAAGTTTCTTAGATCGCATATATGCTGTATTGTGTGTATATATAAAAATAATTAATTTTTTCTTGCCCTCCCTGCTTACGTTTCTTCCTTTGATCTTGAAATGGTAGTTAGTTACTGGTTTTATAAGCCATAAAGCAATTACCAATTACCCCTGTTTTGGTATCATTGCAATTGAACACTTACTCATGGCTGTCCTCAAAGCTGTTGTAATTGTTGTATGATAGGGAGTTGTAGCAGAAATCGTACACCAACGACTTTTGTTCAGTAGTAAAATCCACTTCAAAAATTTCTTCAATAGAGATTTCGAAGGTTTTACATCAAAATATAGAAACATGTTCTGGTAGTGTGTATATTATACCGGCACTCTTCTGGATTTGTAGAGGGATGGATAAGTTTAAATAGGGAAATAGGCAATAGGAGATGTGATAATGATAGAATTTAAGTTTTCACACTGCTCTCTGCGTTAATTAATAATATTATCAGGTAGTCTATTTTTGGGCTACATTTACGGATTGATATACTCTTAGTTGTTATTAAAAATTTTTTTTTCAAACAATTGTAGATTCTGCTTTACAATTGGATCAGGTTAGAGGGAATATAGTATTCAATATATATGCAATATTATCTCTGTATCTCCACATTCCTCCGATCCCAATAATAGGTTTGGATTCTTGGCTTCCCAAAGATTTTTTGATGAGGTTTGCATGAGAAAGATCATTGATCTAACACATATATAACAATCCTGAAATTAAAGATATGAAAGAGAACAATGTTTATTCGATTGACTTGTGATATCATTTAAGGTAATTAAAATAGTTATTCCAACTAGCCTTACAGGGCCTATCGTTACGATATATTTCCCTCTTATTTACATATATATATACATATAAAGTCATCTCTGAAGTTATATATCGTTAAATTGGGCTTAAATCGTCATCAATCGAGGGAGTGATATCATCGATGAGGTAGCAAGTTCAAATAGTCATCGAGGTTATAAAATTATGAAATCGTATTTTTTCCACCTCCTACTAATATGTGCGTCATTAAGTTATAAATGGATTACAATGAGGAAGGACTTTGATCTGATGCTGAGTGAAAAATCAAGAAATGTAGTCTCAAGCTATGACAGCATAAGAAGAAGATCAGTTACCCAAAAGTTAAAGTTATCTACAAATACTTATGATGACGGTGCTCTAGAAGATGCCAAAAATTTTAGGAACGATCCAACGACACCAGTCAAACAAAATGCCACTCTACTTATGCTTGTACGTAATTGGGAAGTCCAAGGTGCATTGCAATCAATGAGATCGTTGGAAGATAGGTTTAATAAAGAGTATAATTATGATTGGACCTTCTTAAATGATGTACCTTTTGATAAGGTGTTCATCGAGGCTACTACTGCAATGGCGAGCGGTAAGACGAATTATGCTGTCATACCTAAAGAAGACTGGGACTGTCCAGAGTGGATAGATCAGAAAAGGTTTAATCAAAGCTTGCAATTAATGCAAGAGGAAAATATAGTCTATGGTAACTCTAGATCTTACCGTAATATGTGCAAGTTTAACTCAGGATACTTTTTCAGGCAAAAAGTGTTAGATAACTATGATTATTATTTTAGAGTTGAGCCAAATGTCGAGTATTTCTGCGATTTCCCATATGATCCATTTAAGATTATGAAAGAGAAGAATAAAAAATATGGCTTTGTGATAGCTATTTATGAATATGAAGACACTATTCCTACTTTATGGGAAAGCGTAGAGGAATTCATCGATATTAAAGGAGATGAACTTGGCCTAGACCTTGATAATTCCGCGTATGATTTTATCACAGATTTTGAGATTTATGGAAGTAATAAATTTCTAATAGATTCCAACACTAATTACAATCTATGTCATTTTTGGTCCAACTTTGAGGTTGGCGATTTAAATTTTTATAGAAGTAATCGATACATCGAATTTTTTGAATTTTTAAATGAAAAGGGTGGATTCTATTATGAAAGATGGGGGGATGCACCTATTCATACACTGGCTGCTTCAATCCTTCTTCATAGAGATGAAATTATTCATTTCGATGAGATTGGCTACGAACACGCACCTTTTCGAACATGTCCCAGATCTTATTTTATGAGATTGAGTCAACGTTGTCAATGTGACTATTCTGGTGAAAATAACGTGGATATCGAATTCAATAGTTGCCTTTCACGATGGTGGAAAAATGGTAGTGGGAAGAAATTTGTCAAAGAACTATAATAAATTCCATAATATATCATCCCTTAACCACCATACTTTGCATTTGCATTTGCATTTTAGGTTTTTTTATCTTAGCTAACATAACATTATTTACAATTTTTATACATTTTATCTAATGAATTAATGTCATAATTGTTTCTTCAACAAATCGGTATCTTTCAATATCCCAAAATTTAACTACCAAACACAACAAGCACAATAAAGATCTGACATCAAATTCAAACCCAAATCAATCCTTCAACTTTTATTGCTTTGCCTTTCTTGTTCATCTTCTCCTACATCGATGATATCAAAATGTGAAACATTCATCAATTATTTATTTATATCCGCTGCGGTATTCGACATATAAATAATTATTGACTATGGTGATTAATATTATAAAACTGTTGAATTAGCTTTAAATATTAGAAGAAAACAATTAAATTGGTTAATCTGATAGTCTCACAGACTGTAAGTTAAGGTATTCATATCCAGTAGTGTTGTATTTCGCCAAATTGTTTCTATTTATTTGATTCTATTCAAAATACAGATCCCCCTAAGTTAATTCAGATATACACATAAGATAACTGTGTTGAGAATTATCTTTTAGGATCAAAGGAATTGGTAACACAGAATAACATTCATTTTAACATTGTGATAATTCTGATTGGGATCGATAAGATATATTCAGATATATATCTTTATCGGTAGTGGATTTTCATTTTTGTTTCCTGTTTCGTTTACGAAACATTGATAAGCACTCACCATTACGTGAAGGTGGAATTAATTTAATTAAAGATAACGTTTGTTAATCTTTGCATTTCTTGCACATTATTAGCATGAAAGCTGATTCATCCTCAAATACAAATGATCCCAATAGTGATAATGAAAATGATAAACAGAATATGTGGAACCCCATATTTATAAATCAAAATCCAGTAAGGTATATGTCACAACAACAACAACAGCACCAGTACCAGCACCTGCCTCAGAACTTACAACATCAACAACAACAGCAATTGACTCAGGAATACTCCAATTCACAACAAATGGCATTTGTAAATCCATGGATGGCTGCCACTGATGATTCAATCAATTATTCACCACTCTATTCAACTGCTCCTCCATCTACCCTTTCTGTATTACAAGAATCGGATGAACATCCTCAAAAAATACCATGTTTTGATAACTATAACTATGATCAAAGAAGGAAGTCAAGCATAATTATACCACCAACAAGAGAACCTGCTCCAAATCCTTATTTGCAAGAATATTATAATGGTTATCCAGCACCAGTTTTTCAACTTGAAACCAATGAAATGATGAATCAACAACAACAATATAATCCAAATTATTTTATTTGTAATCAACCATTGTATCAACAAAGTGGAGATTCAACTTTTTCTATTGCAGATCCAACTATGTCATTTTCAAACCAAGATTTAACTATGAGACAATCTGTTGGTCCAGAACATTTTATATCTGATCATACAAATTCCAATCAATATTCAAAAAATGGAAAAAGCACACAACAATTGATTTCATATCGGAGATTGAGTGCCTTCCCTCAAACTAATGGCTTCCACACATTACAACCACCAATGTACATAAGTAGTGAATATAGGAAATCCTCAATGTCTGTTTCACCAAAACCGTTAATGATATCACACCTGAAGCAATGTCATTCTAAAGCTGATTTGGAGCCAGTAATGAACCAGACACCAAAATTTAGACGTGCATCTTTGAACTCTAAAACTATTTCACCATTAATTGCATTGACAAAGGGACTGATAACAACATATTCTCTTTGCAGTCCATCTTTTTCCTACAAGACATGTAAGAACCCCAAAAGGGTATTAACAAAGCCATCAGATGGAAAATTCAACAATGGTTATGATAATATTAATAGCGATTACATTCTTTGCGTGAATGACGTATTAGGAACAGAACAGAATCGAAAGTATCTTGTTTTAGATATATTAGGTCAGGGTACTTTTGGTCAAGTAGTTAAATGTCAGAATATTTTAACGAGTGAAATTGTCGCAATAAAAGTAATTAAATCAAGAGCTGAATATATAAATCAAAGCATCACAGAAGTTAAAATACTAAAATTTTTGAACCAAGAACTCGATCCATACGATAAACATCATTTTCTAAGATTATTTGATTCATTTTTGCATAGAAACCATTTATGTCTGGTGTTCGAAGTTCTAGGAAAAAATTTATATGAGGTGTTAAAACAAAATAGGTTTCATGGCCTAACGATCTCATTAATAAGAAAAATATCGTCACAATTGTTAGATTGTTTATGTATGTTGAAAGATAATAAAATAGTCCACTGCGATTTGAAACCAGAAAATATTCTATTAACAGGCTCTGGCAAATCCGAGATTAAGGTAATTGATTTCGGCTCTTCATGCCAAGAATCTAGAACTTTGTTCAGTTACATACAATCCAGATTTTATCGTTCACCAGAAGTAATAATGGGGATTCCATATTCTACAAGTATCGATATGTGGTCATTAGGTTGTATCATAGCAGAACTATTTTTAGGTATTCCTATTTTTCCAGGTTCTTCAGAATTTAATCAATTAACAAGAATAATTTCTTGCATAGGAAATCCCCCGGCCTGGATGATAGATATGGGTAAAAGTTCAGACAAATATTTTATCAAAATTGAATCTGATGAAGAAACAGAATGTAACAAATACAGATTGAAAACAATAGAAGAATATAACACTGAATTTCAGAAAAAGGAAATAAAAAGTAAGTTATATTTCAAATGGGACAATCTGTCTGACATCATTGAAAATTACAGATTCTCCAAAGAACTTCAAAAAAGCCCTGTCGCATTCGAACAAGAAAAGAAGGATCGAAGGGCTTTAGAGCATTTTTTGTCAGGTATATTGAGTTTAAATCCATTAGAGAGATGGACTCCACAACAAGCACTTATGCATCCATTTATTACTCAGCAGCATTTTTCAGGTGATTGGTATCCACCTGGATTCATTCCACATGTAGGAACGTCACCTTCAAACCAAGATTTTAATGATACCATTATGAATAATAACGATTCTCATTTTCATAGATCGAATACATTACAAGATATGTCGCCAACAAAAAGATTAGGGTAATATCTCTATATATATTCCACACATTTAGCATCATTTTTCAAAAATAATAAATATTAATTAATTCTTCAATAAATCAACAACTCCAAGAAAAAGATAATTAATAAATTCATAACTAACTTTTATTATCATAATAATCTATTTAATTTCAACATTATTTAATTAATTTTCTATTTTCGTAGTTGTAATTAGGGAATTTGTCTTCCAAAACTACAGAGAGTAAACATCTCTATGATTAGGCTACATACATTAACCTCTGTATGCATATTTAATTACAATATATACATGAATGAAATACCAAACTTTAACCAATTTAGAAACACCATTGACAAATTAGACAGAGTGAGAGAACGAGTAAAAAGTGTTTGGACTAGTGAGTGAGTTGCAATAAAATGAAATGTAACAAATATAATCAATATACTCGAAGTCTATCGCTGTCTCAAGCCTGTAGAGGTTGTGGAGAAGATTGAGCACCTTCTGGCAAAGGTGGTGCCATTGGCTTTGCTTGCCAAGCTGCATATCTTTGAAACATTAGACCAACACCTTCAATGACACCTAACAAACAAGCACAAGTAATAGCACTGTTTCTAGTATGTCTCCAACCACCTCTAATAGCTAAAGCACCACCAGTGAAGAAACCAGCAATAATAGCATTCCATGGGTCTTCTCTTTTTCTAACAGCCTTAACAGCACAGTCAAAAGTAGAGAATAAACCACCCCAAACACCAAAATTACCACCAACGACTGGTGCACGAGCCTTGATGGCGCCAATGGCACCAGTACCACGTTCACCTAATGGTGAGTTTCTAAAACCTTTAATACCATGCCAAACACAACCACCAATAGCACCCATAGCAAAGGCACCACCAAAATCGTTAAGAATAACTATAGGACATGGATCTCTAGAATGATCTGCTGACATAATGGGCGTTACAAATAGAAAAACGTTATCTGATTAACTGGTATCCCTCAAAAAGTTTCCAATAATGACTAAAAGGATATATATATATACCCAACATCTAGTTCTTTTAAACAATTATAACTTGTATTGAATACCTTTTATAAATTGAAATGACAATTCTTCATCGATTTGTCTTTAATTTTTCAAAATTCGGTTGGAAATGCCTGAATATGTCGTTAATAGTGATGAGTGATATTATAATACAATTGATGATGGTTTTAGTCACGTGATGAAAATGTATATATATATATATAAATATGAGTTACGTTAAACTGTACCATTACTAAAAGACTTAACTATAGACAACTGTTCATTGATGGTGTAATAATTTGATGAAATGGTTGTTTATCTTGATCGAGGTTATTTTTAAATATATCTAGAGCATTGTTGAACTTCACTTACGGGGGGAAAACGCATTGCTCTCTTGCTTTATTACGTGGGTAAATTAATAGCTGACACCTAAGTAAGATTATTGGTGATCGCAGATAATGGAAAACTTAAACAATGACCCCTTGTGATTTTGTATCATTGGCAATTACTACTCTTGTTCCTACTTTCTTAATTATTGATTGACGGTTTGATTTTATATTATTAGCCTTTTGTTTCACTTGTATTTAAAATCAATATCGTGACTTGACTTCACCAATCAACGTTATTTTGAAATACTGGCACGACAAGGCTAGACTAATTTAGATACGGGTGACAATATAGAAAAGATGATTTTTATTAGTTAGGATTATATAATTGGTTAGTGCTGTTATGTGTCATTTTCATTTGTTACCTACATTTACTTGATTTTTATAAGATATCAATCAGATTTGGTCTCTAACTTCATGATGTAGCTTATAATAAATAATAATGGATGCCAGTCAATGGTACTAGAATATACCTACAAGTTCTCCATGGTTAATATTAATATTAATATTTTATCAGTATTTCCCTTGGAATAATAAAAAATAATAATTATCACCATTATTAGTTTCCAAGCACTATAGCATCCTTGATAAAGGTGCAATTTCCACGGAATATCTTTATATAAAATATAAATTGTACCTAATACAAACTCATAATTGATTAAGAATATTTTAAATAACTTTTTTCTGTTATTTGTCCATTTCCAATTCCTTGCGAGTAATGAGGGAAACTGGAAAATACACACATGTAGACCTTGTTTCATGTTTTTTACATTTTTACATTTTTAATTATTGATTTCATTTGATCTGGTTTAAGAACATTCTATTGTTCCATCATCTCTTTATTGCGTTATGCCATGCATGATACCAACTTCCATATAATGGGTTGTGAAGGATGTTCATCTTTGTATTGACATCTATATTCCATGGCTTCAATAATTTATAATCGACTATTTTACAATTGACGTCTTCACGTGTGCTGTCCAGTTTTAATGTTTGGCAATATCCTTCAGAGGACAAGTGCGCCCATGTTTCCCCGAACAATTCCCTTAAAATTTGGACATCTTTCATCTCTTCTAGTTTTTTATTACGTTGCTCAATATTATCCCCATAAACTGTGAAATACTCTTGGATACACATTGCAACCTCATTATTCGGTCTCGTTATTATGATTAAAATTTCATCGTCTGAAATGTTCCCATCATTAGTTAGCAGTACACACGTTTCGTTATCAATTTCGTTACAAACTTCTGAACTTGACAACAATTCATCTATATTTTCTAGAACCATACAAGTTGGCGATAGGTAACATACCAATTCATATATATTCATTAAAGTCATAAAGAGAAAGAGTTTTGACAAGCTAGAACTGATTGAATATCCGTCAACAGACAGGAATTTCATCACTGATTCGCCGACTTGGATGGTTTTGATTCCCAAATTCTTTAATAAAGAGATGTCCATATTTCCAGAATATAGCACGCACAAACCGTATTTAGTCCCTACTTGATTTAACGATTGGTGCAGAACAACAATTGACTTGATAGATTCCGGATCGTCATTATCCAATATAGTAATCCAACTTTTATCGCAGTTATTGTCAGGGATTTGTTCGTTAGTCGAGAATCCAGAGAACGAACTTCTTGGATTCAACAATTGCCTTACCCATTGTACTTCTTGTAAGGAACTCCGTCTTAACGGCATTTGAGAATTATTATCTAATATAACTGGGGGATTCAATGGAGCCTCCAATCTAGAAGGTTCAGGGGATCCACTCAAATCCAAATCATCTAAAATATCAGTAATAGCATTTGAAGATTCATCGGTAAGGTTATAATGACGTTTAAACAATTGGTAATCTGAAGATTTCTGGTTAGCGTTATTTAAAAAGGCATAGTTATAACCTTCTTCGATTTCACCAGTCTTTGCTTCTTCAATTGGAACAAAAGTCTTTTCCTGTAGTGCTTTAACTTCTTCTTCCTCTTTAGTGTACAATTCTTTTGGTAATTTCTCCTGTGCCACTACTTGTTCATGTTCATTCTCTTCTTCAATAGTTTCAATCGTTTCAATTGGCGAACCTACGTCCTGTGGTTGCGAAGGGGTATCCTGTGGTTCAGACCAGGACTTTCTAACCAATTCTGCCAAATCATTATTAAAATCGTCTTGACTTGGAATACCACTGTTAGTATTCATTGTGAATATTATTGCCAAAAAACCTTTACAAACAAATTTATCTGATTAAATGCCGCTCCAAACCTCTAATGCAACTGAATGAGAATTGAAGTACTATTAATCAAACGCCAGTATTTTCAATATATTTTCCAGAATATCAAAAGAATTTATGTGTCTGTCTGCAAAACTGCGTACCTGAAAATATATTACCAAAATTAATTAAAAAAAATGGCTTCTAATTGTAAATTAACAGTATTCCTTTATCAAAAAAAATTATTTCGAAATTGATATGCAACAGCTTAATCCCTACAGATAACAGAAATTTGACCTTAAGGTGCCAACTCTTTTAATTCAGTTTTATTTTTTCTTAATGGACTATATTATAATTATAATTACAATTCCAAAAGAGCACCTCCACACAATATAATTATACTGTTATCAATTGAGTTAATAGTTTATAATGTTTTAACAACACAGTAAATAACACTTCAGATCAAGTATTTCCACCCCAAGTATCGATCTATTCACTTTTGAATAACTCTATTTCTCCTCATCTCTTCTTTATTAATTCTAAATAGTATCATCATGATTATTATTTTTTTTTTCTTTCTTTACGTTTTTGATATCACTCTAAGTAACTGGGACCCCTTAAGCCGTGTTGTGTTGAAAAGGAACCGATCGAACTGCGGGAAAAAATTAAAAGGCAAGACAAATCGATGCACGTGAACGTCACATGTACATATTACCCTACCATTTTGATTTTTTGTAATGATCTCATACGCGTTCGAATCCTGACGGTAGCAGAATTAAGAAAAGATATATATGGGAATTTTGCACGTGATTTGTAAAGTGAGTGTGTGTGTCTGATATTTTGAATAATCTGATTAATATATTGTAATAAAGGTATGCAGTTAATGCATTATGAAGGTATTTCTTCTTGGCAATGAACTTTCCGCTATGTCTGCTTTTTAATTACAATTCTACTTCATCTTCTTTTATATTTCTATATATCTTCGAGAGAACATTAAACAAAGGATCGCGATTAAGCGAAGTATTAATTGAATATTTCACCTATACAAATTATAACCCACGGTAGTTCTGATTCTTTGTCGTTTAATGAAGATAAGCATATATCTCTATATATGTCTACAGATACCTATTCGCTCTGGGAAAGTAGGTTTTCATTGTTTAGATTCGAGATACCACCAAGGAGAATTAGTTCTATTAGCTTTATAGATAGGGTTGATTGCGAAATTCTACAACCTCTCTGTTACGATGAAACGCTTCTTTTCTGTTGGTTCAAAGCTATTCAAATCAGAGAGTGAAGAATTAAGAAAAACTATAAAATTTCTAACTAGTAAGGACAATGGTAGATTGAGTTCATTGTTGGGACTAGACTCAAGTACAAGTACAAGTCCTTCCCGTTCCAATGATCCAGGATTACAACAAGATAAAGAGCATGTAGAGAGAATTTTAAAATTGTTAAATACCTCTTTACCAGAGGTAGAGACTAAGAAGAGGAAAGTGGAGGCTCACTATAACGTATTGTTTTCTCAATTAAAGAAATTAGTAGAGGAATCTGTTTCTGTAAATGATATTACAAAATACCCCAATAAGAATGATCCTTCTCACACATATGAGACAGAAAATAAAAATCCATCTACCTCTCTGCAATTATTTGATCAATTGATGATGCTTAAATATACGAATAAACTAATAAATTCAAATCAAATTTCATCAATTATACTGAATAAAGAGTTTAAGGAGTTTGAAAAACTTCAATCTGTCATCCCTTTGTTCAATGAAGAACAAAAATTGAATATTTCTTTGCTATTATACTATAGAAGTCATAACCCACATTTATTAAAAGAATTTAAGGAAAAATGGATACAGGGCTATCCGACGTTGCATGTTAGTATTAAAAGATTATTTTGGAGATGCATGTCCTTCAGTTGTAATGATGAAAATTTGACTTTTGAAATTAGGGATATATTGAAAAAAGTTGGCAGTCAGGATCCTAGTAATGTGATACTGATATATCAATCTCTTTACAAGAGAGCTCTCTATTTAGATTATGCCGTTTTTGAAGTGCCGAATAATCTACTGACACATAATCAAGATCTGTTCGTTAAAATTATAACGTTACTGTCAGAGTATAACGAAAAAATAGAATCTGGGACTACTAAGTGGTTGATTAAAATTGTCAAATCTAGTGTAGATAATAAATTGTTGATGGAGAAGCCTAGTGCAAACAACCTAGATATAAAAAAAGATCCAAACATTTCAATATATCAATATAGGTTTATTAGAGCACTAGATATAGAGATGCACGAGATCTTTAGTAGTTGTAAAGACAAACCAGAATTTCAAAATTTAAAATCCGAACTCAAAGAGATATTAAGTTTTGTTAGAGAGGAAGAGATGGACATCAAATCCCAATTAGCATTAAAATTCATTTAGAATTAGATATAATCCTTTAGTTAATATTCATAAACAGTAATAGACATAGAACATGAGAATATAATTATCGATCAATTGTGTTTTCGATATGCTATGGTTTTAAAAGTTCCGTATCTTATACATATGTATATGTATGTATATAAATTTCATTCTAAATAATTATATGACTGGATGGTTGAGTTATTGTACACTATGTTAAAGTCGAGCTTTAACCGAATTGATTAATTGTTTAGTCTAATGTTTGGTAATTGTTATTTGATTTTGATATTCCTCTTATTATTATTTTTTGGACTTATCCTTCTTCTTGGACTTGTCTTTTTTCTTCTTCTTTGAAGGTGTATCTTCAGAGTCTGTATGCTTTCTCTTCTTCTCGGATTTATGTTCCTTTGATTTCTCTTCACTTCTGACTGTTGGCTTAGTGTCAGAAGGCAAGTCATAATCTTCTGCAGAGTAACCAGTTGGGAAATATCTCATTTGTAAACCTTCCAATTTGACTATATCCTTACGAGGTACTTTAACTTTTTCCATATCTATTTTTGGGATATTGGCCATTTCAGAAACAGCCACGACTCTATCAAAAGTTAACATTTTCCCATTTTTGCTTGTTGAAATAGTTAGAGATTCTTTTGAATCTTTACCACCTGGAACTAGTAAACTCAAACTATTCACTGAATTTTTTGTAGATTCTTTGACGGCTCGCAATACTCTAGAAGAACCTTCATCATCCTTAACCGATACCAGACCTTCATCTAATGGTAAAGTATCTAACTTAGAAATATCGACATTCTTTGGTAATTTTATCAACCATACTTGTTGTTTGTCTGATTCTTTGATACCACAGAATTTTTTTAAATGTTTGCATTGTTTATAACCATCAGGAACCCTGAATTGATCATTCAATTCATCATCACTTTCAACTTCTGAATCAGAAACGTATTCCTTGGATAAAATATCACTTTTTGCCATAATTAGTCAAGTTGACGATCTAGTTTCTTGTAACCTGTTTCCCACAAGGTTTTAATATATATACACTTTGAACAATAAACAAGCAAAAACACACAGATAATTAATTCACTTTATTAAAAAACTTTATTATTTCACCTCAATCCATTGGATGCGATTAGATCCTAAACTGTGTAATCCAATCTCATCTCATCTCATCTCATCTCATCCCAATTCGAACAAAAAATTCCAAATGCTAGCATTTCCATCATTATTGTTAATGCTATCATGGTATTAAGTTAATGCGATGAGCTTTTGCTTGTGATGGTGATGATGAAAAAATTGATGATCTAAAATTTTTCAAAATTTTCATGATCATAGTATACGTAACTAATAATTTATTTGTTTTTTTGTTTTTTGCCCTAACAACTAAAACATGTAAATGCGAAGAAAAAGAAAAGAGGGTATATGTTTTTGTGTTATAGAAGTTGTTCCGCTATTATGTAGCGGGAAAGACACAAAAAGCTAACTAAGTTCGAAAAAAAATACAAAAGTGGTTTGGTTTGGTTTTGTTCGGATCCAGAAAGAAAGAAGAGTACCGAATACCAATGGTAAAAAACATCAATTTGAAAAGTAGGAGAGAATAGAGCCGTAGAGATACAATGAAAATATATACAATTTGAAAAATGCCCTACTTAATTTTCGATCACAAAAATGAGATGAGCCAGAGACGCAGAGATACAGAGAGAGAGAGAGAGAGAGAGCAAAGGAAGAAAAAGAAAAAATAACAAAGAAAATTTTATTTGTGTACACAAAGACAAGTTTAATCTCTAATGAATTTTTTTTTTGTTTTTGTGTTTTTCTTTCTCTTACTTTTCTCATCATCTCGAACTTCAATTGAAATTTCGAAACGTATAAAAGGGCGACACAAAACTATCAATGTTTAAATACTACATCTCATTCCTATTCAATTTATATTCATTTGCTATATTATAACCTACTAAACTAACAAGAACAATAGTTATGGGATACCAAGACTATTTGAATACTTTTTCAGCTAGCCTTGGTGGTCTTGTTTGATTGTTTGTTTATCGACACTGGTGAACATTACGTTCAAGGTTGAACGTACCCAGGGAAATGAGCAACAAGTGTTTCTATCATTAGGATAGAGCAAGATCAAAATTTAAACGAATAATCTTTTTATTTTTTTTTTTTAAATTAACAAAATTATGTTAATTTGGCTTTGATGATAACGGTGATCTTCTTTCCCAGTCCGATTCGACCATGACGACATGGGGTTCTACCACGTTCTTGGTTTTGGCCGGTTTTATACTGTTTTCTTTATTGATTATAGTTGAAATTGGTTTTAACCTACATGGAACTTTTCTTGCCAAGTACCAAGAGTACTAACAATTATCTGAGCCTTTTTAATTAAATTATTTTTAATTTCTATTCGTTTACAATTTTGTGATCTTTTGTTTGCAAATTTCTATGGGATGGAGAGAATACTATTCTCTATCTGTGTTCATCAGTTTATGATTTCTTAAACAATATTCGTTGTGTAAATTCACGATGATGAAAATCGGTTCCTTACATTCGCAGTTTCCACGGTAGGAGTACGCTTACGAACCCATCGTTTGTACTAATCGGTGACCGCCTCTTTATGAGACCTTCCTAGGATGTCTGAGTGTTATTTTCACAAACGAATATTTTTGTAATTGCTTATCATTTATTTGTATCTTGTTCTATTATAATTATTTGCTTACTTAATTTATCTACGCACTACTCCTAAGATACACCAAAAGGTTTGGGTTCCCAGTTAGGATAACGTTCCCAAAGTACTATTGGAACTTCAACCTCGGTATCCTTTTCATCAGTTGATAATTCAGGTTTATTAATCTTATGCGTTCTCTGTTTTAAATCTGCTAAATCCCCCAATATATCTGCCATTGAATTGTTATTTTCAACTGCCTTTGTCTGAGACTTCGCAACTTTATTTTCTTCCACTTGATGAACCACATGTTTTTCTTGTAATTTCAAATCTAGTAACTTCATGTCATTCTTGTTGTATAACTGTTCTAGATTTTTGACCTGTGACGCTAAGTTATTTTCAATATCTTGTTCCAAATTTTCGCTTCTCTTGCGCTTTCTTTTTTTTCTCATGCCACTCTCTTCGTTATACTTCTGTATCGATTTTAAAAGCCTCTGACTTACTACTAAAGTTACATAGGATTGATTCTCTTCCAAGAGCTTTTCCCATGAGTCCCAATCATTAAGGATAGATCGAATATTGAAAAGTCTGATAGATTTATCCAAAAGTTTCAATTCCATGGTTTCCCAATTAGAATATTTCCCCTTGATTATCTTATTAGTTTCGTGTCGTTCACCTTTGCTGGCTTCAATAACCCACTTCATTAATTCAATGTCAAACCCATTTAACTTGGACAAATATAATTTCATCATTAATGTGTTACAATTTTCTATGAATGTTTCAACAAATTTTTGTTTGTTTTCTGTATTTCTCCATATTTTTTTCAATTTATTTAAAAATTTCGTAACTATCTCTTGTGGTGACAATTCAGAATGATTTTTGGATTTATTTGTATTTTTAATAGATTTATTCATTTCGGAAACATTGAAATTTGAACTTGTGATGACATTAGAACTTTCCGATTCCCATATCCAACTATACTCTACAATAATATGTTTAATTCTTTGAAACTCATTTAATATAAATTCAACATCATCTAAATTTATGCCCGTCTCCTTCTCTGTAATTTCTTCCTCTTCACCTTCACTAGAATCTTCTAACTCTTCATCATTCCAGTAGTGGTTCCACAGCCAACCCAATGCTTCCTTAGAGGCCAAACGTAACATATCTAGACTCAGTAGTTCTCTTTCATGTGTACCCCAGTGCCTCAAATCAACAAACCACGAAGGTAATCCAATTTTTTTAGCCAGTGTATGTAATGGAATGGCATACATTGATTGCTGGGTTGGATCTAACAACCCATTGACAAATCTTACTAGCGTCATAGTATATCCCAATCTTACAGATACATTATTATTATGCGAACCAGTTTCCCTTTCATCTAGTAAAATTGCACTTGTTATTTGAGCAGTTGAATCAATTACATGTGGCAACAAATTAGAACCTTTGCTTTGATAGGCTCTCACTTTCTCCACTGCTCTATTTCTATTATCTTCGGTTCCTTCTTTAGAGTAAAACCATTTCTTCAGAATATCTAATTCATCCTTACTTCTCCAAGGAACTATTCGTGGATGAATCATCTTATAACTTCAAGTATTTACCAATAACAAAATAATTTATCGACACTTTATGATAGAGTTTTAAATGTGTCCTCCAATTAACCCTTCACTATACTTTTATTGTGGACAAATCAAGTATTATTTCATCTCATCTCACCTCATCTCATCTCATCTCATCTCATCTCTTTTCATCTCATCTTATATATATGGTAACAAATTTTTTCAAAAACAGTAGTAGTAAATAAATTTTACATGCGATGAGCTATAAGTCGAGACTCAGGAGAAAGACCTGTAAAATAATATATTAATGAGTTATCACAATTCTATTAACAAGATTTTATGATGTTAGTATATTTTAGAGGATATGTATAAATTAATAATGCTGTTTACATTAAATGCATTATTTTAATTGGATTATTCTGCGTTTATAGTATTAAAAAAAATAAATTCCTTTGATAATATTGTAATTTAAACAGGAAAGAAAAGAGATCATGTATGCAATTATGTTAATCATAGGAATGACAAATATGTTCTTGTTGTTGTTGCACTATTATATTTATATCTTCAATACATAAAAGGATTAGTCGAATATTAATCGTTTACTTGTTAATCACGTGATTGAAGAATGACGAATTTTTCGATGGGATGAGATTTTAAATACGAATCGAAGAAAGGTCCATCGAGAAAAATACCCGATTAACAATGGTCAACTAGTAGAAATTAATAGTTGATTCTATGCATTTATGATTTAAATTTGAGGATTCTACTAGAGTATCTATATTACCTTCAGGTACATATGTTCTTGATAGAAGTTCAAGACTATAATGCTTTCATTGGCATAAGTTTGTATTGAAGCTCACATTATTATAAATTAAAATGGATATGAATGAAAATAAAGTACGCAAGAAACGTCATAGAATTACTGTAGTTTGTACAAATTGTAAAAAGAGAAAGAGTAAATGTGACAGGGGAAAACCATGTAGCAATTGTACTCGTATAGGTATTGAGAACAGTTGTTTATATATTAAAGATACTCCATCTCTACCAATTGATTCAATTGGATCTGTGGCTGACTTAACAGCGTCTGAATTACAGATACCTAATTTTATTCCTATACATCCAAGCTATAATAAAGAATATGTTAATTACATCCCTAATGGCAGATTCTTTGAAATCAAAAGATCAGCGTATACCATGTTTCCTATTTTCACTGACGCATGTATTGAGCATCGAGATGCCGTAATTAAGGCATTCACCACTTTCAGAACTATTGTTGTGAAAAAGACAATAGACCATTATAGGAAAACAGGCATTGATATTGAAAGAATTGCATTGGCAGGATCACAAGGATTACCGAAATCTTTTTTACCATTGACAGTATTTGATGAAGAAAGTAGTAAAAATTTAGTTTTAGAACAGCAAGAACCACAACAGAGTTACCAGATACATTCCTTATTAGCAGAGAAATTTAGTCACTACAGGAAAAATGCTAATTTAAAACTTGGGGATGATTCCACAACAGTTTATCACAATTTAATTATAAAAAGTTTGCCTGATCTTGGGCTTTTAATGGATACGATAATACCATACTATGAACAGTTTATCGAACCATTGGTACCGATAATCGAATTTAAGGATTTTAATGTTGAGATACAGAAGCTATATGCAAAAATTGAATTATCAAATTCCCTTGATCCTAAAATCGGTGAAAACACATTAGCATGCATTATTCTTCTAATATGCCGATTATGCCACTTATCTTCCAAATTTGCTGTAGAGAAATCTATTAATAGTAGTAATTACGAATCAATATTAAATATGGATACCAACATATTTGTGAGTTTAGTCCAACGTACAGCCACTGGAGAAAAACCACTTCGAAAGGGAACTCTATATGAATTGCAATTGTTAATAATGCTTCGATTATGCTATTGGGTTGGACCTGATGATGGCGATGGACAACAAGTAGAGCAAAGTGAAATTCTGCATGGTGCTATTGTTTCCATGTGTAAACATATGGGTGTGTGGTGGGATTTGGTTAAGTACTCCGAAGATTCCGATTTATTCATTACGGTTGACTACAAAGCAGTACCTAAATTAGGGAGTCAAAGTGAATATATTAAATTGTTTAGAAAAATATGGTGCTATGTATTATGTTGGGACCGTAAAATGATGTTATTGACTGGGCAAGAGTGTGAGATTGGAAGATCTTATAAAATGTCGCCAGCTCCTCGATTTGGCAACGGCTGGTGCGATGATATATTACAATATGATTATCTACTATATGGGATCAATAATGAACTACATGACGACGCTCGAAAAGTAGATATAAGCATGTTAGAGGAATTGGTTGAGATGTCAGAAATGAGGATGGGGGTCTTGAAGGAAGACGATTTTTCGTCGAATATTTATAGAGAGCAAAAATTAAGTTTAATGTTGATGAAATTAAACATTATTCATGGACAATTATCATGGTATGAACGTACTGGAGACAAGCAGTCGCAAGAGACAGCGTATGCGAAATTGTTTACATTGACAGTAGAATTGGGCTCCAAATGTGTGGAATACTTCAGCACACCTGGTATACCTGAGCAAAGATTTTATATGAATAAAATATATGAAGTTATCTTGAACAGATTAAACAATGTTATTGTACCTGGACTCATATTAAGGATACGTTACGAGGAAGAGACAGGTTTAGATGGTATGGTCAAATATCTATACGGTATGAGCAGCATGTATTTCAATGAGATTGGTAAAGAATATTATCGAACGTTCAAGAAAATGTTTCATGGCAAGATCAATTATAAAATATTAGAGAATGGACACCGATGCATGGACATGATCATAAAGTTTTTGCAAAGAGAGATGCAAAACAACAATGACACAGCAGTTAGCAAAGGAGACAGTATGAAATTGAGTGATCGATTGCCATTGGTTGCATGGGATAGCAATAGCACTAATGATATGTTTGAGCCCATCCACACTGTACCTCGAGGGCCCGAAATAGCCGCCCTGATATTAGAAATGGTGAACGTGTCGGACAGATACCATTATAACAACAATGTGTTTCAGACAGTTTACAAAGAGGCTCGGCTCGTAATTGATGAGACGACGACGACGTCGCAACAAGATTCGTTGGCGTCAGCAGGGACGAATAGGACTAATAATATAGCCACTAATAGTGGTAGTGGTGATGATGGTGGTAATGGTAGTGACGACTCGTATTTGATGAGACTCATACAGGAACTGTTTGATCCATTAGATTTTGCATCTGCATTTTAAGAACCCAAAAGAAACAAAGTTTCGGCTGTTGTTCGTTGTTTGTTGTTTTCATTTTTAATAAAATTCACATGGACTGGTTAGTAGCTGGACCCACGTGGGCAGGGAGGTTTTGTTGAAACAGAGCATGTGAAATATAGATTTTGTTGTGTTCTGGGGGGAGTACACCAAGAGTGCTCTAAGAACATGGGGAAGGAGGCGACAGAGAAACAGGCGAGACAGGCATGGGATACAAAGAAAAGAGAAGCGAGGTGCAGAGAGATGTATGGACGGGTGGCAGCAATAACCGGAAGAAAAAGAGAGAGAGAGAGAGAGAGAGAGAGAGAGAAACCACCGAGTTGGCGGCTATGGGTTCTGTAAGAGATTGCAAGGAATCATTTTCAATATTTTATTTTAATCTATCTTTTTTAGTTTTAAGTTGTGTTTTTTGGATTATTTTCCCTATCAGAAAGTATGTGGAATGTTTTAACTCCGGGACGGCGCTGTACTAAACACCCTTCCGCCTCCGCCTCGCTCTCCCTCTGCCCCCTGGTGCGAGACAGACATGGTGATGTAAAATGAGAAAGTCTGGGGGGTGAGTGAGTGAGTGAGTGAGTGAGTGAGTGAGTAATGTCTGCGAGTCTGTGTCTGTGTTTTGGGAAGGAAAGGCACTTTCAGGAGTCCGTTAGTACGATGAGACAGATATGATCCCAAGCCATAGATCTATTAATAAATAGTAAAATATCCCATCGATATCTCAGAGTTGCAGTGGTTATTGTGTTGAAGTTGAATGCATGTGAAAGAGCGAGCATGTGAAAATAAAACCACGACACAGAAACAGACACGGAGTGATTAGACGCATGGACGCATGTGATTCATTGCTTATTTTAGGGGTTGGAACCAAACGTGTAGGATCCTGAGCAGATATGTGACAGTCACCTGGAGAAGTACGAAAGTATGAGGTAAAGGAACCCAACAGAGACAAGACAAGACAAGACGAGACATATAATGCCACTCGCCACGAATTACTGATAGTGCTAAGCTGATATCCCATTCGATGTCGAGTATTCAATGAATATCAAAGATCAAAAGCAAAAGCAAAAGCAAAGATTAATCAAATATATCCAATAATCACTCACATGCAGAACTGGGTTGACTCTCTGGGAGCCTGTCTTTCTTTCTTTCCGTCCCCGTAAAGTTCAATATCACAACAGTCCACAGCAAGATACAACAACAACGCATTACGTTGCAGACATAGTTGTGATGGTCTTTGATTAAGTTCCAATGACAGTGCCAGTGCTAATCGGTATCTGGTACTAAAAGGCATACCTGGGACAGGAACTATCTACATACAGAGGCCAGTTCCAGTTTCAGTGTTAGTTTCAGAATCAGAATTAGAATCAGAATCCAACCAGGATAATAGGTATAGGTACGGGAAAAAGGTGAAAACAGAGTGGATTTGACTGGATTTGACTGGACTGGACATGGATAGAGTTGAGAAAGAAACACCTTTGACATAACGTAATTGTTACCATAATTGTAATTGTGATTCTGTGTGTGGTTGTAATCGTGATCATAACAGTTCTGGTTCGTTCAGTTTTTTGTTGGTGTTGGTGTTGGTGTTGTCCAACAGAATCTCATCTGGTTATGTGTTTTTTGTGGTTGGGTTTTTGTGGTTGTATGTATTCTTGTGATGGATGATGGTTTTTGTGTTAACTCTTAGTTTTGTGTTTTTGTTTTTGTTTTCTGTTTTTGTGATTTCTTTAGTATAAATACTCTATCTGAATCGACATTACTGTTCCTCATCCCGTTCCATTGTCGGTTTTTCTTTTTCACTCCACTCTAGATCTTTCTTGTATCTGTTTTCTCCCCCCATACTCAACACCAACATCAACAAACTTCAAGTTCAAGTTCAGCTCATATACCCCTATCTATATATCCTGTCCTAGTTCCATATTCATCACCAAACCTCAACCCCCCCGGATATCCTCTTTTCATTACAAAATTTTTATCCTTGCTTCAACTGTATTTTAGACGTCTTTTTTAATTCATTATTTTACAAAGTTTTGTCTAGTGTTGTCGCATTTCTAATACCATTAATCTATTATCGTATCTCTCACCCCCGCTTATTGTGTTTTGTTCTTATAGATTATAAAAATATAATAATAAAATTAATAATAAATTCAATAAAATAATAAAACTATTATAATGACACAAGAAGAATTTTTGTTTACCCCAAAAGTTATTGTCAACAACGACAAATCAAGAGTCGAAGGTGAAAATTTGATCTCAAAATATACCTACATAAGCAACCAAGTCCAAAAAATCTTCAGACTCAAACCAATACGTCGTCAACACCATTAATGAAGACTACGAGTTTAATTTGAGCTTAAATGTTCCAAAAATTGGTGTCATGTTAGTAGGTTTAGGAGGTAATAACGGTACCACTTTCTTAGCCTCAGTCTTGGCAAATAAAAACAATTTGGAATTCTATTCAAAAAATTTTAAGGGCTTGAAAAAGGCAAACTATTACGGTTCAGTCACCCAATCTTCAACCATCAAATTGGGTATTAACCCAGAAACTAACGAAGACGTTTATATCCCTTTCAATGAAATCTTGCCATTTGTTAACCCAAATGATTTCGTCGTCTCAGGTTGGGATATCAATAATTCAAACTGTTCAGAAGCAATGCAAAGAGCTTGTGTCCTAGAATACGATTTACAATCAAAGTTGAAGGACTACATGAAAGACGTCACTCCTTTGAAATCCATCTACTACCCAGATTTCATCGCCATTAACCAAAACGAAAGAGCAAATAACGTCATTAACAGAGGTACAAACGATTTATCTTTGGAAAACTTATCCAAGGGTAAATGGTCTCATGTAGAACACATCAGAAATGATATTAGAAATTTTAAAAATGAAAACAATTTGGATAAAGTCATTGTTTTATGGACTGCAAACACAGAAAGATATTCTGTTATCGAAAATGGTATTAATGACACCGCCGACAATTTGATTAACTCAATCAAAAATGATCATGCTGAAGTCTCCCCTTCAACCATCTTCGCCGTTGCTTCAATCTTAGAAGGTGTGCCATACATTAACGGTTCCCCACAGAATACTTTTGTTCCAGGTGTGATCGAATTAGCTGAAAGAGAACATTCTTTCATCGCTGGTGATGATTTCAAATCTGGTCAAACTAAAATGAAATCTGTGTTGGCCCAATTCTTGGTCGATGCAGGTATCAAGCCATTATCCATTGCCTCTTACAACCATTTGGGTAACAATGACGGTTATAACTTAAGTTCTCCTATGCAATTTAAATCAAAGGAAATTTCAAAGAGAGGTGTCTGTGATGATATGATAGAATCAAACCAAATTTTGTTTAACGATAAAGTTGGTAAAACTATCGATCATTGTATTGTCATCAAGTACATGAATGCAGTAGGAGATTCAAAAGTTGCAATGGACGAATATTACAGTGAATTGATGTTGGGTGGTCATAACAGAATCTCTATTCACAATGTTTGTGAAGACTCATTGTTAGCCACTCCATTAATCATTGATTTATTGGTAATGACAGAATTCTGTACAAGAGTTACCTATAAAAAATTAGATGGTGCAGATGCTACTAAAAAGGAATTTGAACCATTTTATCCAGTATTGACTCTGTTAAGTTACTGGTTAAAGGCTCCTTTGACAAGACCAGGTTTCAAGGCTATTAATGGTTTGATGAAACAACGTGCAGCTTTAGAAAATTTCATGAGATTGTTGATAGGTTTACCACCTTTAGATGAATTGAGATTCGAAGAAAGATTGTTATAAACATCACGGATAAAAACTTTTATCTATCTCTAATGGAAGTCATCTAGGTATGGGTAAGTGTACAAGCGGCATCACGATTTCTTTGCTCGATTTCTACACTATACAATCCATTATTTGTTAATAAATGTTCATCATTCTCAGTACTAAATGGAACTCATATATATATACATATATATATATATGTAATAACAGTTGAATGTATTTTGTACATACGTATAGTTAGTTTGTTTATTAATTACCCCCAAAAAAAATATCTTTATAAATATAATCACTCAAGATCAAACAAGTAGTTCAGTAAAATAATATCAGCATCTTAAAGTTAATTGAATTCATCGTGCTTAATTCAAGATTCTTTACTTTTCCATTCTTAAAGTCTCGCTTATAGAATTTCCTCTAAAACATCAATTTTTGTTATATATTGATCCCTTTAACGATAAATTTAATAATTTGAAATTTTTCAGATGAGATCAAGTTAAAGCAATAAATTGAATTGTATATTGTAATTGTATTGTTGACATACATATTTTCTTTCATTATATATATTCTATTCCACAGATTATCACTAGATATTTCTAAACAATTTGGAAGTAAGAGTTATACCGTTGTCCAGCATTTGATATTAATCGACATGGAAGTATCAATGGATGAAACAATTACGCTAATAAGACAGGAATCAATTCTGCTTCAAAGGTTACTGGAACGTGATAATCTTATTCAGGCTATAAACCATGCAGTTAAGGCTATTTCGTTCTTGAGGAGTGATGATTATAAATTGAATGAATATTACGAAATCTATTTACTCATACAAGATCGTTGTTTTAAGCCTTTGTCTGACTACCTTATCAAAGGTCATACTTCGAATAAATTCCATCTTAACGATGTGTATGATACTGTCCAATACGTTGGTAATGTTTTGCCCAGATTATATTTGTTAGTTGTTGTTGGTACATGCTACGCAAGCATTGATGATGCTCCTACCTCTGAAATATTGAAAGATTTAGTGGAAATGTGTAGAGGTGTTCAAAGCTCAATTAGAGGTATGTTCTTAAGACAATATTTGAGTGACAACATCCTTCCTTTCTTTATAGATAGTAAATACAGTGGTAGAGTCGATCAATTGACAAAATGTCAACTAACTTTAGAAAACTTTAAAGAAATGAATAAACTATGGATAAGGTTACAATATCAAGGTTTCTTAAAGGAAAGAATTCAACATGTTGAAGATAGAATAGATATTAAAATAATGGTGGGATCGCAATTGATAAATATACACAGAATTATTGGTGATTCAAATTTACAATTTTATAAAGAAAAAGTGGTACCAGTGGTATTACAACAAATTATACAATGTAATGACGTTCTCTCACAAAATTATTTATTTGATGTATTTTTCCAAGTTTTTCCAGTTGGTTATCACTTGGCCACTTTGAAGTCTGTTTTAGAGGCCACATTGCATTTGCATCATGAAGTATCCATTCATGAAATCATTAATCTATTAATCAACAAAGTATCCTCTGACAATGTGGACAAAATTGATTCATTAGAATTTGTTGAAGTATTTTCGGATTATTTGTATAACTTAAACCAAAAGGATCCCCAATTATCATTGCTGCAATTTATCCCATTATTGGAAAGTGTTATCAATTTATCGGTTAATGAAGAAAAGGTTATTGCATTGGATCAGTTCTTTGAATTACTATCTACTAAATTGAAAAATAAGCACACTGAATATATAAATGAAGAGAATGAAACTTTGGCAAAGTTTTTAATTCTAAATAGGATTCCAAATGTACAAAATTATAAAAAGTTTATTGTAAAGGTGATACTAGAAAGTAAATGGTATAGAACATTATTTACCGATCAAATATCGGGAATACAAGCATTTTCTGTAAATGTTATTTTACAAGAACTTTTGTCGTGTTCAAAATCAGAAATTCCAATAAAGAACAAGGAAGAACTTCAAGTTATCTTATCATTCTTTTCTCCTACTATTGAAAACTATGATTCAAGGCATCCAATTCTGCAAGAGAATCTAGTGAAATTAGTTCATTGGATATTAAATTCAATGAAATTGAAGACTGTAAACGATAATATCGAATTAATTTCAATTCTTAAAAATTGGTATTCGAATATAAATGTCGACTTCATCCATATATCTCATTTGGCAATCATAACAAAGTACTGGGAGTTAGTCAAAAAATGTAAAATGATACAGAATAAATACTGTAAAAATGAATCTGTAAAGAAACAATATGGTGATTCCACTAGACAAGTTTTCAAACTTATATCTAGGGCTATTCAAGACTTGGTTTACCTGAACAATGAACAAATTATGACAACAAGTCATAACTTGTGTTTGGAAACTGCAACTTTAGCTGATTCTTTGTCACTAGGAGATATAAGTTATGATTTTTTTGTTCAAGCTATTGAAATGCATGAGGAAAACAAGATTAGTTCATCCCAGAAGTATACCGCGATTGTTGTCTTAATACAAACGCTACAACGAACAAATTCATTATTTGTTGAAAATAAGTATAATGATTTGATCTTCAGATGTACTACAATGGCGTCAAGACTGTTGAAGAAGAAGGAACAAGCCAGAGCAGTATACTTGTGTTCACATTTGTGGTGGACAACAAAGACAGTTGGGATGAAAATTGTACAAGGTGAAATTGTGGACGGTAATACATCGAGTAACGATATGGCAAAGTCGATGAGAGACCGTAAAAGAGTGTTGGAATGTCTGCAAAGATCACTAAGAGTTGCGGATTCGATCCTAGACAACATCACTAGTTATCAGCTGATGATCGAGATCCTAGAAATCTGTCTGTTCTTTATCAACGGAACAGATGGTTGGGACTCCCCCGTGCCTGCAACGTACATAGACGGTTTGATAAAATTGATCAACAATAACTTGAAATCATTGAAACTAGAAGAAAGCACCAACTTGAAATTCACTGGTGAATCAGATGAAGAACCACTAGAAAAGGAAGAATTTGTAGCCACTCAAGATGGTAGATACACGTCATTTGACGCTTCAATTCCAATCGACCCTAACAAAATGACAAGGGTACCTATCAACCACTTTACAAGGATAAACGACTACATTAAAAGATTACAATCAGTTGACGCTCGTTTCAAGTCGATCAAATTATGAGATCTCAAGACTCAATTCATAAAACCACGTCAACCCTACCTCAAGGACTGTCCTCAAATATATATATATATATATATATCCACCTGGTAAAGGTATTCAAAGGCAGATACTACTTCTAGTCTATTTCAGTGACAAGTAAGGTATACCATGGATGGTGTCTGTCGTCAAACTATCCTCTGACCTCTGATCTCTGACCTCTGGTTCCTCATTTTCCATCATCCATCACCCACGTGACCTATCTGTATCCCAAAACGCCACGTGACTGATTTGGGTCTTTTTCCTCTTTCGCCAGTTCCCCCATTTTTAGCCATCGTTTCATTTCCCAAATTGAAGGGGTTTAAAGAAAAGCAGATATGGCCGAGGTCAGATTGGATATAAAGAAACTGAACAATAAACTAAGTATATTTAACTAATTTGAATAGTTTTAAGTAAGATAAGGACTAGAAAACTGGGTTATAATAAGGTCAGGAAGGATTCTTTTACATTGTTGTACTTTTGTTGTGCTATTCAGGTGGTTTTTTAAAGTGTTTGTTTGGGCTGTCATTCTTTCTAGTGCTTTAACGATTTAGAGATAGATTATTTGTCGAATTAGTTTAAGCAGTGTCTAATAAAATATTTTAGCAAGACGTTCTTTTAATCTTTTTTTGAAAGTGTTTGTAGGTTTCTAATTGGTGACTGGTATCTATTGGATCTTTTTGTTTTTGATTCTCAAATTTCATTTGGAGAGTAGATTTCTTTAAACAAAAGAATTTTAAATTTTGGTATCTGTTAGATTCGTGTCAATTTTTTGTCGTATTTTGATAGTATTTGGATAAAAAAGTATTAAGATATCAAACTTATATTCAAACACGCTTTTTTATTTGGTTTTGTTTGTTTATTCAATTGTTTAGTTTTATTTTTCCAGTTTTTTTACATTAGCTATATTTTTTTTTGTTCTATCAGTCATGCCAAAATCTGTTTACAAAATCTCAGATGCTGAGAACTTAAAAGTATGTGTTGTAATGGTTGGTCTGCCAGCTAGAGGGAAGTCTTTTATTTCTCAGAAAATTGTCAGATTTCTATCTTGGATATCTATTAATGCTCGATCGTTTAATGTTGGCCAATACAGAAGAGATGCCGGCACCTTGGAGCCAAGTTCAGATTTCTTTGATTTTGCTAATGAGGAAAACTATAAATTGAGAAAACAGGCTGAATCATTTGCTGTTGAGGACATTTTAAAATGGTTCAACGAAGAGGATGGTGTCGTAGCAGTGCTAGATGCAACCAACACCACTAGAGAAAGAAGGGATAGAATTTTGAAAATATGTCAAGATAATAATATAGCACCAATGTTCCTTGAAAGTTATTCAGACGATCAAGACTTTGTATTAAGAAATATTAAAGAAGTAAGAACTGTCTCCCCAGATTACAAAGATCTAGATCCTGAAGAAGCTACAAAAGATTTTTTGAAAAAAATTGCTGAATATGAAAAGACTTATGAAACTCTTTCTGATAAATTGGATGGCGATCTAACTTATATGAAATTGATTAACGGTGTTCAAGAAGTGATCGTTAATAAAATCCAAACTTATTTGCAAAGTAGAATTGCCTTTTATGTCATGAATTTGCATATCAAACCACGTTGCATTTATCTATCCAGACATGGTGAATCTATCTATAATGTAGAACAAAAAATTGGTGGTGATTCTTTATTATCTCCAAGAGGTTTAAAGTATTCCCAAAAATTACCAGAACTTGTCAGAGAAAGTGCTGGAGATGTCGATTTAACAGTATGGACTTCTACCTTGAAGAGAACTCAGCAAACTGCAGAATGTCTATCTTATAGGAAATTACAATGGAAAGCATTAGATGAACTTGATGCCGGTATTTGTGATGGTATGACTTATGAAGAAATTGAGAATAAATACCCAGAAGACTTTAAAGCTCGTGATGAAGATAAATATGAATACAGATACAGAGGTGGTGAATCGTATAGAGATGTTGTAATAAGATTGGAACCTGTTATTATGGAATTAGAAAGACAAGAAAATATTCTGATTATAACACATCAAGCCGTATTGAGATGCATATATGCATACTATATGAATGTTCCACAAGAAGAATCTCCTTGGATGTCTATCCCACTTCACACCCTTATTAAACTGGAGCCAAGAGCATATGGTACTAAAGTCACAAGAATTAAAGCAAATATCCCTGCTGTTAGTACCTATAAAGAAAAAGGAACTAGTCAAGTCGGTGAATCAGTCACTGTAGGCGGGGGCATAAGGGATATTATTAATGAAACGCCAGAAGACAAGTAACTTAAAATAATTATATTATATTCCATGTATATTTAGTTAAATATTTTATTTTTTCAGAAAAAAAAGTTATTGAGGTATTGCAAACTTATGTTGAATCTAGCAATCTCAAAATGTTTTGGAGATGAATTTTTGGATGAACGATTTGACGTTTCTTTTCGAATTAAATAATTGTTCTATAATATCTTTAAAGAGAAATATTTTTGATCCAAGTTGATCTAAATTTAGATTATCTATAGTCTATACATCTTCGTAATTTATTCCTCTTATCGTATTTTTCTTCCCCCTTTGTTAGAATTAATTTTATGAAGTAAGAAAAGGTACTTTCTTGATAGATCTTAACACGTCGTTTTTTATAAAATGGGAAATTAATTGATATACTCTAAACAAACAATTTCATTTTCTATAGATATACGAGTGAAATTTAATATGCTTGTAGTGATGAGATGGTTCAACATTTTTTTTGAATGTCAGTTCATGTGTTTATTCTGATTTCTGTTTGTATTTTTTCATTGCTACTAGATTTAGTACCTTGATGAAAGTTACAAAATGAGAAAAAAATTAACCAAGCAAGATTAACTAATGATTGTAGATGAGGTACCTCTAAACAATCGAAACAATTTTTTTAATAATGCATGGTTAAGATAATATTACTTGTTACTTTTTGTCCCAGCTATTTCTGAGTAATGAATCGCTTCACGTTGTAATTTTAAATTAGCTAAACAATTAATTTCCCATTTCTAGTAATATTCAAATATCTCGCACCTCGCATCCATATGTTGATTAATTAAACTGAATAAACCATTAACCAGCTATAATAATAATCGAAGCTAAAACCTCCACAATCAGAACAAATGATACTTGGGACCATATGGCAAATTAAACTGATGCATTAAAAAACACAAGAAAAAGAAACGAAACGAAACGAAACGAAAATAATTGACTACAAATCATAAAACTCCATGTACTCATATGATGTATCAAATGAGAAATATATTACAAGTAAGTATACTCATTTCCCAATATTGTTAAGTTAAACGAATGTAGAACCAAGACAAAGACAAAGACAAAGACAAAGACAAAGACAAAGACTAAGAAATAGAAAAATAAGTTTAGTCTCTAAAAAAATTAATAAATCTAATTTCTTGAAAAGAAGAAAAAGCAACAATGATCAGAGTGAGATACCCATATAATTAATATTTTAACAAATAATTCAAAATTTTGTGTTACAATTATACCTCAGAAGTGAACCTCAGAAGTACTGATTCTGAAACTTGATCAACAGGCCCCATTAATTGTTGTTACAGCAATACAGAATTATAAATGATTAGATAAACTAATGCCGTTACATGAAAAATATGAGACACACATACCAAGAAATAGTAGATTTGGGTGTTGCAATCGTGGTATCGATTATCAGTACCATGGTTTAAATCTCTAATTCAGTGTTATTATGTCTGTAGGACCACTTTCATTCCATTCAATGAAAGTGGTCAATTCAATCAAGAAATGCAGGCAGACCATAATCACTAAAAGCAAACTAGCCACACGCACACTCTCTCTCAGACATGTCCTTTTATAAACTATGGTCTCTACTTGAATCACATATCACTTGTTCTTATCCTTCTAAGAATTGATACTCTCATTGTTTCAGAAATGTATATCAACTCGACTTCATTTTCATCATTTCCGCTGACCTCGCTGCGTCGAGCTCTGAGAGATCTAAAAAAGTCTTCGTTTCTCGAAGTTTCAGATTTTGGACATTTCCCTTTCCGGCCGTGCGATTCCTCTGATTGGAATAATTTGGGGTGATGTATTTTTTAACATAATAGGAAAATTAATTAATGTCTGAGCAAGCATAATAATGATTTTGGTCACAAAACATGGGTGATTATTATATGGTTTACTAATTATTGGTCTGTAATTGATTTTATTTAGGTATATATATATATATATATATATATTGGAATTTGAAGTACCACTATATTCGATTATTCTTTTATATTATTATTAGATGGAAAGTTTGACAAAAGATAAGATCATAGGGAGTAAATTCAGTGGGACATTATACACAGATATATATATATATATCTGGAAGACAAGAATTTTAAGCAAATACTGTTCTATAGCTGTTAATATACCAATACATATAATATGAATACGCCTGAAAGATATACTGTCGAGAAAAAGTTGCGTACACCGCCAAGCATTGATCATGACACTTCTACTTCTACTCGTAGGAAACTTTTAAGAGGTTTGTCTGGTAAAGTATTTAGAAAAACTCCAGATTTAAAATTGGAACAAAAGGCAACATTTGGACCATCCACATTTTCTGCCCCAAAGACTCCATTACACTTGTCAAAAAGACAGAATGTTCCTTCTCCGTTGAATTTTAATCAATTACTGTCACCACCTCCAACTCTGAGAAAAAAACAAGCAAGAAGGGTTGTCAGTAGTCCATTAAACCATAAACCTGGTCAAAAACAAAAAGATCAAAACGGTCTTCTTTCACCATTTGATGTATTTCCCTCGAAGTCAGCGTCTACTTCAAAATTAAAAAATCCACTGCAAATAAACTTAACTGAAGACCTACTGCATTCATCACTTCTTGAACCTGTTAAGATTAACAGTGTTGAAGATATGATACTATCTGATAATGAGGATGATTTTTCTTTTCTACCTCAGGAGTCGCCAACATTTGCCAAGAGTTTTCCAAACAATTCGAAAAACAGTAGATCTGTTTCAGGGCCTAAGAGGTTTCTTGGTGAAAACTGCTCGATGTGTGATGAACAAATAAGTAGTAAATTTGGTGGTGAAAAAGTAATTGAACTAGATTGTTGTCATACCTGTCATTTTGAATGTTATTTGGTGATGTTTAAGTTTGGTCACTTTGAAGGTAAAACTCCGGAGTGTAAATTCTGTAGGAAGGCTACGAATCCGAAAGAAGAAGAAATGTTACAATTAATAGTATCAAAGGCATTAACTAGTTCCTCTTCTGACTTGCCTAACTCTTCCACCTCGATTAAACAGCAATGGATTGAATTGAAAACATCAGAAGCTGATAGAGGATTTGCATTCAATTCAACTCCAATAGATCAATTGATTCGTACAGCAGATATTACTTCAAATGGTTATCAAAGCTCACTCCTCAGTGCCCCAATTGAAGAAAGTACTAGTGTAGAAGAATATATTGGTAGGCCATATCTGGATAATAAGAACTTGATTGATATATTAAAAAGTGAATCACAAGGAATTGTATTGAACCTATCTACAGAAGATGATGAGGAAGAGGTTGATGATTTGGCAGCCCTTGAAAAAATGGACGATGTTAATTATATGGAGGAAATTGAAATTGAAGTTAAAACTAATAGTTCAAATTCAGATGTGGATTTGACTCTAACATTTCCAGATCTTTTGAACAAAAATGATAATAAAGATACTGAAAAATATGCTGCGAAAGTTGCAACATTGACTAATCAAATAGAGACATATATATCTGATCATATTGATAAGGATGATCAATTTGGTAAATTGATCATGTTTGATAAAATTACATATTCGACAGATGGTGAACGTTGGAGTGATAATATTATTGCATTCCTATTTACCCAATATTTGGTATTTTATGACAGCATAAATAAGAATGTAACTGGTAAGATTCCATTAGATCAGATTTCTAATATCAATAAATTAAAAAATAGAATGATGCTAATTGATTTAAAAACCAGAACTTTACCAGAAGTATATTTGTTAATGCCATTTACTGGGAAAGATGATGATATCACTTCGAAATGGAAGTATTATTTACAGAACAGTAATGGGTTCAATGAATTAGAGTTCCACATTATGACTTCTACAGCATGGAACTTCTTTCCTGTTAATATTTATAAAGAAGTCCAGATACTTTTGGAAAGTGAGATGGGCCAAGAAAAGTTAAGTTCTATAAAGCCTTGGATTCACTCAAATTCAGTTGCTCCGATAGAACTAATATTGTGTTTAAATCTGTCTACAAATGACGATGTCACGATATACAAGAAAGAACTTAAAGATGTTTTGAAAACTACATTATCAAAACTGAATAAAAATGACCGTTTAGGTCTTGTATTAATGGGAAGAGATGGTAATGATAATATTGGTGAATACGGTAAATTTATTGGGATGATAAATAAAGAGTGGGACGGCTGGGATGAAATCATTGAAGACTTAGACATAATTGACCATGAAGTATTTTCTAGTACAGAAACACTTGGTACAAAAGCCTTCGAAACATGTAACAGAATGTTAATAACTACATGTTTTCCTCAGGAAGATGAATCAAATTTAAAACCTATTAAACAATTAGCGATAATTAATAAGGATAAAGTAGAACTGCCTAACCAGGGATTAATTGGCAAATACAAACAAAAAATAGAAGAAGACTATCACTGTACAATTTCCAATTTCCTATCTGGCGATGCGTTGGTAAGTGTAAGTAAAACAATCGACAGCTTACATAAAAGACGTTATCAAAATATAGTGATAAGTTTTGATGAAGGTAATGATAAAATTAAATTAGGATGCATGGCACCAAATGATGCAAAAACTGTAAAAGTATCAAATATATTACCAGATAAAATTGCAAATTTGGCCAATTTAAATATTGAATGGTATGACTGTACAATTGATACTACCAAAAGGATTAAGAAGAAAGTCACTTTGGTTATTTAAGAAATTTAATGTATTTTATAGAGATTCTTAATTAATTCAAAATTATTACGTACATTTTTTTAAATGAGACATATATTTGATCTTTTAAAGTTAACATTGATTGTATCTACGTTAACGATACTGGCTCTCTTTTTAAAAATAAAAAAAAGCCAATTGTTTCCGCCATTGCATTATCTATTACCACTAAAATAATCAAAAAGAGGCATGTCCGAAATAAAAGCTCCTACTGCATTGTATCAACAAGTTGGATTTCAATATCTTTTTGTTCTTTATACCAAGCCTAACAATACAGAAGCGGTTTTACAATAGGAAAGCAATTGAAAATAATTGTAGAACAAGCCCATTAACGTTTTATTTAAAAATTTCACAGTCCCTACTATATAATCCTTCCATTTCTTATGTGCCACTGGTATTTAGATTAGTTCCTGCATCGAATGAGCTTTTTTTGCCCATTGCCCATATCACTTATCAGCAAAACTAAGCGCTGATAAAGACACAATATTATTAATCCCAACCCATCCACCAACATCATATAACACCTACTACAACCGTTTTCAGTCAATCGCACAAATTCCATTGATCATTAATCCAGTTAAGTAACTTCCTCTATTAGGAACAGCTCCATCAGCTTCGAAATAATATAGATCATGTTATAATTGTTAACGATTTCCAGATCTGGATTCTGTCCAAATCGGGAAGCCGCGTTTTTTGGGCCATTTTATATTTTTTTTTCATTTCTCGAGAAAACATCTCTCTACAAGCGTTTCTTAAAGAGACCTTCTAGAACTATCCAAATCGGGAAATCTCGAGCCGTCAGAAAAAGCAATGCTCGAGAGTCGAGATCTTGAAGGCGGCAGCTGCTTTGTCGGTGCAATAGCCTAAGAAGACAGCGAGCAAAATAGACATAGATGGGATACATCTTTCATTTCGGATGGTTGTTTAAGAAAGGAGAAAGGATGGAATTTTCTATTGCATGTAAGAAGAGAGTGTCTGATGTAATTATTTACAAAGGAATTGAGCATTCATTTCTCTTGCTTGGAATTGTCTGATTTTAATCTTGAGCTTACGTTACGTTATTTGAGAGAGAGGGTATTGGTCCTGTCTATTTACAGTACAGGTTCTAGTAAATGTGGTCAAACTGTTGGCTTGGGGGTTCTTGGAGTTATTGCTGACAAAAAGATTACTTTAGCAACAGCCTGCAAGGAATCGCAGGAGCGATGAGATGGACTTTGAACATTTAATTCTTTGTTTGTTTTGTTGGCCTGGTTTGTTTGTTTATTTTGTTTTGTTTTGTTTTGTTTGTTTATTTGATCCAATACTTGACGAACAATTCTTCATTTGTTCATGCATATATAAACAGAATAATTTATCAGCAAGTTAATTTTTCTTTATTACAAGTTATATTTCATTTCATCTTCTTCAATATGTTAGTTTTTCTTTCTTTCAAGCATCAAGATTTCTAACTCGTTGAAGACATTTATCCAACTTAAGTCACTCGTTATAACTATAATATAAAATGCAATTCAACAAAGTCGTTGCTGCTACTGCTCTAGCTACTGCTGTTTCCGCTGAAGGTTATGTTCCAGGTGATGTTTGGACCACTTTGTCTCCAGCTGGTGCTAACTTAGGTGCTACCAACTACGGTTCCACTTTCGGTATTGCTGTTCAAACTATCACTAAAGTTGCTAAAAGAGCTGCTATTTCCCAAATTGGTGATGGTCAAATTCAAGCTCCAACTACTACTGGTGGTTTATCTAAGAACACTGCTGCTCCAACTACTACCATTAAGAATACTGTCACTCAAAGAGTTATTGTTTCCACTGGTAGCTCTGGTGACAAAGTTACTTCTACTTTAAGCCCAGCTTCCAACAACGGTATGGCACCATGGTCCAACAACACTATGTGGTCCAACAACACTATGTGGTCCAACAACACTATGTGGTCTAACAACACTATGTGGTCTAACAACACCGCTAGTGCCAGCACACCATTACACCAAGGTGTCTCTCAAATTAATGACGGTCAAATTCAAGCTGGTAAGGGTTCCAGTATTACATCTGCTCCAAAGTCTACCAGCACCAGTAAGACCAGTTCCATCTCTGCTTCAACTCAAGTTTCTACTTCAACTTTCGAAATTTCTATCAAGGACGCTTCCTGTAAGAACAGCGGTACTTTGTCATTGACTTTGAAGGATGGTATCTTAACCGATGCTAAGGGTAGAATTGGTTCTATCGTTGCCAACAGACAATTCCAATTCGATGGTCCACCACCACAAGCCGGTACCATCTACGCTGCTGGTTGGTCCATCACTAGTGAAGGTAACTTGGCTTTAGGTGACAGTGATATCTTCTACCAATGTTTGTCTGGTAACTTCTACAACTTGTACGATCAATCTATCGGTGCTCAATGTGTTCCAATTCACTTAGAAGCTGTTTCTTTGATTGATTGTTAAGTTTTATGTAAAGCTTGCTAATAACTAGCGATTATAGTTCGTATTCTCGGTTCATCAATTCTCATGTAATATAAAATATATAGGCATTTAAATAGAGATTTAATTAAAAATACCCTTCATTCGAAAATTTAAGGTCAATGAACTCTTATGAGCAGATTGAAATTTCAACTATGAGTTTGGTTAGATACTGACGTAGCAATGATGACATTGTAAATGAATCACAGCTTGATTTAGCCATTTACTTAAAACTTCTATCACTCGAAGCTCATATGAATTATAAACAGAAAAACAAAGAGTAGAGGTATCATCAGTAAGATACATTAATTTGTATATAAAATTGTGTGCTATACATCTATATTAAATTAAATGATAAAAATTCAAAATTGAATTTGTAATACGAACTATTAGGGTGATGAGCAAATGTATTGTTCAAACAGAATTAGAAAGATCAAAGGGGTAAAATGAATGAAAAAGTCAAAGCTTTTCTTTTCAATATGCAAAGGAAGGTAATAATTTTTGTTTATAACTTGGTATTCATAATTAGAAAATATAAGTCGTTCCACGACTGTATCTGCTAACTGTTCAAACTAACAGTTAACCAAATCAATAGCTTGTAAGTGAACTGGAGTACATTGAGCACCAATAGATTGATCGTACAAGTTGTAGAAGTTACCAGACAAACATTGGTAGAAGACATCGCTGTTACCTAAAGCCAAGTAACCGTCTGAGGAAATAGACCAACCGGCAGCGTAGATGGCACCGGCTTGTGGTGGTGGACCATCGAATTGGAATTGTCTGTTGGCAACGATAGAACCAATTCTACCCTTAGCATCGGTTAAGATACCATCCTTCAACAATAAAGCTAAAGTGGTGTCAGATTTACAGGATTGGGCAGTAATTGGATCATTGACAGATGTTTGGGCAGCAGATGTAGCAGCGGCAGCGGCACCAGCAGCGGTAGCACTGGTAGCTTGAGCTTGACCATCAGCAATTTGTGAGACAGCAGCAGCTGAAGATTTGGTGGTAGCTTGAACTTGACCATCACCGATTTGAGAAACGGCAGCGGCAGTAGTCTTGGTGGTAGCTTGAATTTGACCATCACCGATTTGAGAGACAGCAGCAGCAGCAGTCTTGGTGGTGGCTTGGATTTGACCGTCACCGATTTGAGAAACGGCAGCAGCTGTAGTCTTGGTAGTAGCTTGGATTTGACCATCACCGATTTGAGAAACGGCAGCGGCGGTAGTCTTGGTGGTAGCTTGGATTTGACCGTCACCGATTTGAGAAACGGCAGCAGCTGTAGTCTTGGTAGTAGCTTGGATTTGGCCATCACCGATTTGAGAAATGGCAGCGGCGGTAGCCTTAGTAGTAGCTTGGATTTGACCATCACCGATTTGAGAAACAGCAGCGGCAGTAGTCTTGGTGGTAGCTTGGATTTGACCATCACCGATTTGAGAAACGGCAGCAGCAGCAGTCTTGGTGGTAGCTTGGATTTGACCATCACCAATTTGAGAAACAACATCTCTCTTGGCGACAGAGACAGATGTGGTAATTGGTTCGACAGCAATACCGAAAGAGGTAGCATAATTGGTGATACCACCACTCAAAGTAGCAGATGGTGTCAAAGTAGACCATGGTTCAGATGGAACGTAAGCAGCTAAAGCTGTAGCAGCCAAAGTGGCAGAAACGAATGTCTTTTTAGTTTGCATTATATTTTTATTAGTTATTGATAATATTTATAAGTGATTAAGCACTTAATGTTTTATGACTGTGGATGATGGTTTTTATGATTTATATTAATTTGAAATATTTAGATAGAATGATGGAAAACTATTTCCTAAATGTTGAGAAATAGACAGGTTTATATATGTGAGAAAAGTGGATATAAATGATTCCATCAACAGACAGGTCATGAATTATGCTCAACCAAAATTGATATCAAAATTGAGTACAACTGGAAAATTAATTAAAAGATTTTATTATTTTGGGGAGGACAGCAATTTCAAACGTAGAAGGCACTCTGGTACGTCAATGTAATTAAATTTAGGAACAATTTTTCAATAGAGCATACATATAGAAACTAAAAAATCGATACATGGAGTCACACAACTATGCTATGAAGGGACCATAAACGGTAAATATAATATAACTAAATTGGGCAATACTCATGGACAGGGGAGGAAGAATATTGAGGGATAGAGGGAGAAAGAATTAAAATCTTAATATAATTATTAATTAATTACACTGAAAATAGAGACTAATTATAACATCAATTTATTAGGACATCATAGCAGTTTGTCCCAAATTGGATAAAGGAATACAATTTTATTGAGATATATTCATTTTTATTACTAAATTTACTTGATATTGCCATATGAAAGATAGAGAGATACATGAAAAAAAATAAAGAGAGCTGGGATAGGAATAACTCTATAGGGTGAAAAGTCGTTGAAAAAGTGCTAAATCAAGATATTACTACATTTGCTGCCATTAGTGTTCAATTAATTTTAAATGTGAGGGCAATTCCCTGGAGAGCTGTATCTACAAATGTTGGGCTGGGATACTAATTAAGTCCCAATTAGGACAAACGAGATACTAAAGATAAAATTGAAGGAGAGAATACAAGAAGAAAAGACATACATAAAAAGATTTTAATTAGAAACATTTTCAGAAGCTTGAATTGGACCACTATTATCTATCCTATTTTTGCAAATGGATACATATAGAAACACATGATGTTGTACATATCATAATGTTATACATAGTATATTCAAGAATAGGATACTTTTTAACTAGAAAAAACCTCAAAGGAGGAGGACAAAGGCAAAAGGATAATGAATAGTTCAAAAGAGTAGTGCTAGTGGGTATTGACAGAGGGAGTTTACTAAGTATAGAGGGAAAAGATAGGATAGTAGAAAGATTGAAAGGATGTCCAACAAAACTTGACAGTGGAGGAGAAAGAGCTAATATAGATTTATTGCAAGGGAGAAGTGGCAAGGAAATAATATAATCTAGACAGACTAGACTAGGCATTTCTATCTTAACTTGACCTTGGTAACATCAAATCTGCATATATCACTTGGTTGAGATAGGTTTATTTGAGTTTTAAACTGTAGTGAATCTGAAAATTTTTAATACTAAATTTAGCTCATTGCGTGGTGACCGGATGGATATCATTGGATGTTTAACCGTTAATGAACATACGTCATAGTTAGTGAAGGATGATGATTGAAAAAATTTTCACTTTAACATACATACATACATACATACAGTTGATTTGAAGGTTTTGAAACGAACTAAGAGGTGGAACTAGATTTTGCAATATCCTCTGAGGGGTTTAAATGCTAAATTATTCATTTATAGAGAAAAGTCATTCGAAAAAAATGTTATGTTCAGATGGTATTCCATCTGATTGATTTAGGTTAGGCTGGGTTGAGTGAGATACGAGGGTGACGTACAATTTTGATTCAGGTTAAACTTAATGTTTTATGGTTTTTTATTAAAAAATACTGTTAGACATTTGCTTCCGTGGGTTGGACCTGCAACTGTCGGTCGACTAAATTGTCTACCTTAAGAGGGGGGCATGCCCTATCGGTTGATTCTAACCGAAACTAAAAATCTCAATCTTGTTTCCTAAAATGGCAATACACTTCCTGAAGACAATCAGGGCCATGTATCGACGAAATTGGTACTGAGATTGAAGTCAAAATTAGGATAGAAATTGAGAATAATATACCTTTAGATGCCACCAAGTTCAAATTTATTTGTAAAAAGAGACTCCCCGGTGATTGGCGACGGAGATTACTAGTTCTAGATGGAGATATGGTTTAGGTTAGGAAATTTGGAAATTAAATAAATACAAACGAGGATATTTTAATAACTAAGCCTAAAATAGATATAACATTGGATTGCATTCTAAAATTGCACATCTAGGGCTTTTTAATTAAATAGATTCTCATTCAATTCTTTTGATCATATTTTGTCTCCCTATTACATATCTACTTTGGGCTTTAGCACGTGATTTTACAGTCACGTGTTTATGGATACAATTTTCACTTGTATCTATCTTATAATTGGATCAGTCGATCTTCTTGTTAAGTAGAGAAGGTGAGTTAAAATAAAGGAAACTATGTAATATATAGACAAGTGTTCACATTTTATAAAACATGTTTACTAATCCCTTTATCTATCTATATATATATATATATATAGACATTTATGAATTTGTCTATTAATTAGTTAAAGTATGCTGGCATTGAAACGTTGATGTAGTTTCAGTCCCTGACATGTCTGCTGGTCTGATTTCCTAATGCGGCTTCGCTTCGCTTGGTTTCCCCAAATCAGATTTTTGTTACCTTTTTAGGCAAACATGGCTGGGTTAAAACAGCTTCCAATATAGATCATATGAAAGTTTTACCAGTAACTATAGTTTACAACATCTAAAAGAGCTGGTTTCCCTCAGATCTGGCAAGTTCGAAGACATGCATACAATGTGAAAAAGGTACTTGTATCGCTGGTTTGGGGTATGATCAACTTAATTTTGATTCCCTCAATGTTCTTTTTTTTCAATATGACCCTCCATTGTTCTTAGTATGGATGGTTCCAGGGTGGTTTAAGAATTACGATTTCGAATTTACTGAAAACGAGAAATTAATGGTTTCTTCTTCTTTAGTAATACGTGAACCAGCTTATGCCAAGTCCCTCATCTTGTCTCTATTTTGCTTCGATATGTGATTGTTCAGCAACTAACATCTGATATCAATAGTGATGTGTCAGTATTCACAGCCCAGCAATGCCAGCATCAGAAAAAAAAATAAAATGGCTTTCATGATATCGCAATTATTTTGCTGAGCTGATCTTTTCGAAATGTGATGGGTTTGGCTCATTAAAACTTGATTTTGATTCATATATAAACCAACCTTGATTCATCTATTATTCAATCAATTCTCATCTTCTTTTCTATTAACTTGTAATGTTATAAAATATAAAAAACCATCAACAACAACACTATTAACAGTTTACAACTGCAAATAATTAAAACTTTCAATAAATATTCCTCAACCTTTTCAATTTTAAATCATCAAAAATGCAATTCAAGAACACTATGATCTCCGCTACTTTGGCTACTACTGCTATGGCTGCTTACCATCCATCTGAACCATGGGAAACTTTGACTCCAACTGCTACATACTCTGGTGCTTTCACCAACCACTCTACTGATTTCGGTATTGCTGTTGTACCAGTTACCACTTCTGTTTCCACCGTTTCTGCCACTACCACTGCTGCTACCACTACTACTGCCGCTACCACTACTACTGCCGCTGTACACAAGAGAGATGACGTCGCCACTACTGTTTCTTCTTCTACCACTACTTTATCACCAACATCTACTCAAGCTGCTCCAACTTCCTCTGCTACTTCTATCTATGCTGACTTTGATCCTATTACCGCTGTTTCCTGTAAGAATGAAGGTAGTTTAACTTTGACTTTGAATGGTTCCGTCTTGACTGATGGTAAGGGTAGAATTGGTTCTATCGTTGCTAACAGACAATTCCAATTCGATGGTCCACCACCACAAGCCGGTGCCATCTACGCTGCCGGTTGGTCCATCACCAGAGAAGGTAACTTGGCTTTAGGTGACAGTGATATCTTCTACCAATGTTTGTCTGGTAACTTCTACAATTTGTATGATGAAGCTATTGGTGCTCAATGTACTCCAATTCACTTGCAAGCTGTTGACTTGGTCGACTGTTAAATTGAATAAAATAATTAAAAAAAAAATGCATCGCATTTAAATTCTGCAAAATATCATAATGCAACACGGATAGCAACGACTAATTTCTGCTTAATTTGAATGTTCTTTTATTTCGATTATTATTTTATTTCATTAAATTTCATCTGTACATTATTGGGTCTAACGTCAGAAATTGTCAACTTTGATTTAAATGTTTACAACTGGTTACCGAGCTCATTTCCACGCTTGTTGATATTAAATCAAAAGTTTTCAAGTTCTTACTAACGTCGTTTATATTATTAGAATTAATACATTATTTTATATAGGTTAAAATATATTTTCCATTCATTTTATATTAAGTTTCAAGATTTATACTTGTTGAACAGTAAACAGAATTGTATAATTTTTTTCTTCTGGAAAAGACATAGAATTTATCCAATTTTGCCAAAACGTTAAATGGAAGTGTGAAACGTATCTGGAACATACATTATACAAATATCAATTTTGAATCCTACAAAGATAAACTACTACTTCATATTATCACTTAAAATATATAATACTCCTTGTCCATATTTTGTTCTTCTTGAGATAATGTTATCAGCGGTACAATTCCCACCTAGTCTAATCTATTGTTAAACATTAACCAATTATAAATATTACACACACCTCAATATTACAAGCTGATAGTGAAGAGCAAGTTACTTAATCTAGGTAGTATTACATAAGATATTGAATAGAAACATGGATCGAACACTGAATTATTGGGAATCTAATAAATTTGTACAAGAATTTGAGAGTCATTGAAGATTGCACATATGAATGCCTGATTTCTCAATAGAGAAATCATAAGAAGCTAAAATAAATATTTTAAAGCACCATACTTGAATTCTAGGGATCAGGATATTTTCAGTAATCACCGTTGACTTCTATTTTTTGATTTGATGCATTCACGACGTCAAAAACTAAATAAAAATCTGTTAATACTATTAGGAAAGAATTAAATTATATAAACTTCTTTATTGAGTAACTTGAGTATATAATCAATAACTTGTGGAAATGTATCCTCACTTTCCTACATTGGGTTTTGTCACTAAGGAGACCAATGATTTACATATTGGATAAAGGAAATCTACATAATACTATCTATATTGAGTATTAGAATAATCTACTAATTCAAAAATTTAAAGATCCAAATACATTGACTAAGATTATCAATTTATTTTATTTGAAAGTTTAAAAACCCATTGCACATCATCTCTACTTCTAGTTATATAAAGCCTAGTTTGATCGAAATCCCTCAGCTTTAATTACTTAAAAAGAAAAAGAAGATGAACGATACAGCATTTGTATCAACTACCTCTTACAATATAAATGAATATAAATATTAATTTTTTTAACCTAATTGATCATTAATGGAAATCCCAGTCTTGCCTTTTATATTAAAGTCACCTAATTAATTGTCATGTGTGGGAAATGTGGAGATCCCATATGACCCAGTTTATTATGGTTAATTAACAATAAAAGCCTAATTGAGCCTAATAGGAAACTATAGGAATCAAATCGAGTAGTTTAACTCAAATATACCAGTTTAAAAATAAGAAGGCAAATAAGAAAAAGATCAGCATTTTCCAAATTCATCAAAAGGTTATAATAAAATTAATTACTTTAACTTTAATTACTTTAATCTTTGGGGTGAAATTGTTTCTTGAAAGAGACTAATAAATAATATAAGATAGAAATTTACAAGGCTTATTACTTGATCTTGTCGTATATTAGAGAGCATTTTCCAGGCAAGAATGTCTCAAGGATAGTCGTCGGTTTCTAGTGAATTCATACCATGTGAAAATATGCTGAAAATATTGTTTACAAATATGTTATCCCAATCTAATGATTATCATTCTGAATGCTGAAGTAGAATATTATCCACATATCACTGTCATCAGCTGATAAACACTGATCAACTATTTTGGTGAATCGAAAATAAAAAGATCGTTAGATCTTATTACCTGTATTATGAATAAAGAATACATGAATTGGTTTACTTGTGGGGTTCTAAGAGTAGTAATAGAAAATATCTAGAAGGAAGAATTGGTCTAGAAAGGTTTGAAATAAATATTTCCTTGTTATAATTTTTTGAACTGAAGCGTCAAGATATTGGCACTTTAGCAGTAAAACTCTCTATATTTCCAACACTATTTTAAGAAGCTCTAAGACTATTAATGCTATCAATTTTAAGATCTCGAGGATGTAGTCTGAATTATCTCATTCTAAATAATTCGACTCAATCCAACAAAATTGAAACGCTTTCTGAAATAAAGATATAAGTCATTCCTATTCTTGTCATCATTTATACTTCCAACACTATCTTCAACTTATTTACACTGACATTAAGACAAGCGCCATCTTCTTATAATGAGTTACCCTCTTAAAGTTAATCAAGTTTTGGTAATAAGCCCTTCTATTTCTTTAGTATCACCATTTATCATATGCTGTCGAACAAGATTACATATACCTCAAAACTTTCGTGACAGCATTAACTGGATCATAAACGTAGACTGAAATTGTTGGCATTAGATGCAGTCTAACGTGGGCCTGTTTGCATAACATTTAAGAGTAGGTGCTAAACCATCAAACAAATATCATATGGATTCTTTTCGTCTCAATTATTCAAGAATAATAATGAGTACACTGAGTTTTAGCATATAAACTGAACTAGATATATAACTCCAGTAACCAACATATATAAACCTCTTCAGTTCAGTACAGCATGGTATAGTCTATCTGCATTGTCTTGGGATAGACTATACCCCATATGAAGACGACTTGAGATACCGGATAACTTCCAAATGCTTACTGTTTCTATAGTAACACATATAGTGTATCTGTAAGAAAAGAAAGGTTCAATATGAATGCTATTTTTTATAATGCGTGGAAACTATACCCAACTGCGTTAGAACACATATCTCAACGAAGCGTCACATATTATCTAATTTAATTCAGCATGTTAAAGACAGGTTGGTTAAGGAAGAGTCTATTCTGATTTATAAATCAGCAGGAAATTGATTAGTATATACAGAGGTGGCATAAGCAGATAACTAAAGATAAATATGTAATTGGTATACTAGAAAAACTGCTTCTGATGGAGAGAAAAAAATAGAAATAACAGAGTTCTTGTTTGGGGCATTGACTGTTGTAGGATTATCTATCCCAGTTATAGCTGAAATAAAATTAGGTACAAATTATTAAAAATATAAAGGATGATATTCTTGAAAACTTAAATAAATATAAAAGCATTAAAGAGTTCAGAGAATTAGTTGGTATCACACAAGATGTCTGAAATGCTTACTTCTTCATAACGTGATAAAGGATGATGATCTAATTTATTATTAATTTCATCAATATCAACTTTAAGAGGTGGATCTAAAACAATTTCTTTTTCTAAATCAAGATGTTTTAGAAAATACCCTTTCTTTTTTGCTAATCCAAGTTGATGTTCATAAATTTTTCTGCTAGACATATAAGCATATTTAGCTAAATCAATATCTGGTTCTATATCCTCTAAATTATTAAAATAATTGTACTCTTGACCAAAACAAGTAACTAAATAATAAATATATTTAGAATCTAATAAGTTTAAAATATCGTTATCACGAACAAATCCTTTATTTAAATGTAAAACATTAAACTTATTAAATAACCAAAAAGGTTTATATTTTAAAAACAATTCTCTATTAAATAAACTATTAATAGTAATATTAGAAACAGCGTTTCTACAAACATAATCAGGAAATTTATCTTGATTTTGTATAACCATAGCTGCAAAAGGAGCACTGTTTAAAGCACCAATCTTTGCATATTCAAAATCACCTTCTTCTATTTTATAATTATTAACATCTCCAATAGACACAAAATATTTATTCATTTTTAATATACTTCTTCCGCTATTTCTTGTTCAATATCCCCAAAATATTCAAATAAATAATTTATAATCAAACTTCTATTCAAATCATTCTTATATTTTAAAATATAACCCACACCAGTAATATCATTACTATTAACTAAATCAACAGTTAACCTGAATACAGATAAAAAAACATTATCTATTCTATAATACTTGGGATAATTAAAAACAGAATCAAAATATTTATGATACAAATCATTATTATCACCAGAAAAAACAATATCATCCTCGATTAAATTATTATCAATAAAATAATCACTAACTATATTGATAAAAGAATAAACAAATTTATTTTTACAAATATCTAACAAATATTTTCTATTCAAACAAACAAGAAAATTCATTGAATATGGAAATACACCATCATCAAAAATAATACATTTCTTAAATAAATCATCCCAATCATTTACAACACTTATAAAAGAAACTGGAAATCTATACTTTTCATTTATATTTAATAAATTAAAACAAGTTGATTTTTTGGGAGTATCAGGATAATTAATACATGATGGAACATACTCTCTTATTATATCATCCTCTAAATAATTACTCATAATAAATCTAGCTGAGATAGCAGTATAAACATTCTTATTAAATTTTAAATTAGAATGTTTGATTTTATAAGCAAAATAAAAACTATATCTACAACCTCTAACAATATAATAAGTTAAAACATTATTATCCTTTAACAATTTTATCTTACACTCTTGTTCTAAAAACAACTCGTCCCTAGAATCAAAATCATCGACATAAAAATAATACTCAAAAGTAGAAGGATCATAATTCTTTATAAAATTATCATAATCACCATAATAAGCTGCAAAACAAGCTTTATAATATTTACTTGATATGTTATTTAACACACTTAAATAAGTCATTCTTTCATATAATGAGAATATTTCAAATCATTAGAATATTCTCAATATTTTAGTTAAGAATTCTAGCTGTATTGGCGTCTGCTCCTTATAAGTTTACATGAAGCTGTGAACTAATAATTTAAAACATTACCATATATATAAAATATTGAGACAACATAAGAGAATGCGACCTCAGTAAAACT